AAATCACCAGGAACCGGACCGCAGGTTTTCGTCTTCTTTGAAAATGATCGGGTTCCCTCCATTTTGGGATTACTCTATGCTTGGCAACCGCCATTTAAAGGTGAGTCCCTGGCTGATTACATGGGGATAGGCCTAGCAGCTCCCAGGATGAGGAGGATTCACTAGAGAAGGTGAACTTCGGCGTAGGATCCCAGTCCGGACCCCCCCGAAAGTCGTTTTCATTTCCCTGCAAGAAGGGCCTAGCGGATCCAGCCCCGAGTACGATACATCCAAAGGTTGGCATGAAGTGACTTGTTCGCTTCAGCAGCAAGGAGTTTTGGGCTTGGGCTTTGCTGATGCTGCTCGCTGAGGCTGCATGGAGGAGGACGCTGCTGCTCCTGCCTTCGGATCCAGATGTCGTTAGCTGCCCGACTGGTCCTGTTCGAGGGATGGTCGGATCTTCCATGAATTCCAAGCCATGGATTTTACGTGGAACAACTCAGGCTAGACAAAGTGACCCATTGTCAACCCCTCCACGCAAACATTGAGCCAGCCATTTGTCAAAGTATTCAAAGTGCAAAGCGGAAGGGCCACTGACAGGGTTCCGAATCACCAAGGGCGAACACATAAACCTCAAAAAGTGGGGGGTTGGGGGGGGACTGCATACCCCTTCAACTGACAAATCATTTGCAGCAGTTGGCTTTTCCATTGGGTCGTACACAGTTGTACACACTCCTTAGTGATGCGCACTGACTTTCCGTTTGCCACTTGATTGCACAACGATTACATGAGTCTCTCAGAAGGAAGGGACATGAAGAGTTGCGGTGTCTTTCTGCCAGAAGTGTCGCTATGGTATCAGGTGCCCTTCACCCTGACAGAAGCAATGCCATGCAGAGCCATTTTTGTTGGACCCTCGAACAACAGGCAGACAGACAAAGAGACAAAGAGACACAGAGGCAAAGAGGCAAAGAGGCAAAGAGACAAAGAGACGAAGAGACAAAGAGACAAAGTGGCAAAGAGGCAAAGAGACACAGAGACGAAGAGGCAAAGAGGCAAAGAGACACAGAGACGAAGAGACAAAGAGACAAAGTGGCAAAGCGACAAATAGACAAGTGCCGAGGCTTCAACACGGCGCTGGCCGCCTTGCGCAGCGTCTCCTGGCACCTCGCGTGGCAGCTTTTGGATAGCCAGGAGGCAAGGGCCGCTCGGGCTTGCGGACTCTCTCTCTCTCTCTCTCTCTCTCTCTCTCTCTCTCTCTCTCTCTCTCTCTCTCTCTCTCTTTAAGCAGTCCTGCCATGCTTGGCCTTTTGATAATTTTATATAATTTTCATTTTTTTCAATGTAGTTTGTTTGTACTATTTGACCATTAGTTCTCCTTTAAACGTGGTTGGCCACCCGAGTACTTGTAGGGCTGCTTTAAGAGAAGGTCTTTCTGAAAGTGACGCTGCCCTGCGCAGTTGGGCGGTTAATGATTTGCACTGATTAATGTGTCCCTTTTGATTGGCTCTCAGGGGAAGACTGAAGCCAGTTTGGGGAGTCTGTAAAAAAATACATGCCCATATTCTCCAACACCACTGTGGATAGACGAAATCCTGCACCACCTAAACAACCATGAAAACGCATTGTTTGTTAGTATTTACACAACTGCCTGCAAAAAAAAACACAAAAACACGACGTGTGCCATAGTCCAAGCAATCCAGCTGACCCAGCAGCTCCATTTTGGCTGAAAGTAGCGGGGCGATTGAAAGAGGCTGTGTAGGCGCTGCCTTTCTATGCGCTATTCGTTATGGTGCCGCAAATTTGGACGTATAGCGATCCTTCTCGTGTGTGTGTGTGTGTGCGCGCACGTTTGCAGATGTTCATCGATCAGAAATCACACCTAAACAACTGGTCTTCCTCCGATAAGCCGATGGTATCTCATGTTTGCAGACTAACTGGTCAAGCGGCGTTTGCAAAGACCCTGTGCATCTGCGGACAGCCAACCAGATGGTTTTCAGGATTTTAGGTATTCCTTCAGAGGAACGACAATTGGGGATGACTTGCAAGCCACAATACTCTGCACCCTTCAGAGCTCTTACCCAGTTAGACTTCTTCAATCGTCTTGACCTTTCATTCGGAAAACCTTTTTGGGGCAAAACCGCCAAGTCCTTGGGCTTTTGGTTTTATTGCTCTCTTTGTACGGTTTAAACTTGGGTATCTTTGATGATTCCTTTGCCCAACTTGAGGGGCTCAAGTTCTCGTGTGTCAGTTCTCCGAGGGGACACGCCACTGGTGATGGCAAAGGCCTTGGTGCCCGAGGTTTGCCATGCACTCTCCAGCTTCCATTTGCTGAAGAACATATTGTTCTATTTATTTATTTACAAGGTCCCCCAGTAGTGCCCTTTTACCCTTTTTTGGGGGGTTCCATACTAAAATAGAATACAGAAAAAAGGTACCCTTATTCTAACCTCTCTACTGGAGGACCTATGATTATTTTCCTTGTTTGTTTTTAAGGGAAGTTTTATCACGGACATATTTTGTTTTTTTCAGAAAACTTGAGCAAATGGAAGCCAGGAAAGGGAGTGGCCAAGGAATACGACCAAAGTGACCAACGAGTCTTGGGGGGCAGAGGGATGGCTCACTTTGCTTTGGTGCATTTTGCTTGGATGTTAGGACTTTAACTTTTTGCCAACTAACGGGTTTTCCATCCACTACTAAAAGTTAAACTTTTAGCAGGGGAGCAGAAAACAACCGAGTTTGGTCCTTGGTGGTTGTTGCGGAACTGTACGACCATTTCGTCATGGCCCCATGCACAGATGTCAGCCGTTGGGGTTGCGCAGGAGCAGTCAGTGCAAGCGGACATCGTGACGTATAATACCCTGGTCACGAGCTGCGACTCAGAAGGCCGGGCAAATCAAGGAATTGCGGATGCTTGACGGGTTTTGGCCTACCGGCAGAAATGGGACCCTTCCAAGTTGATGCGCGGACGGGGGGGAAAATGCGTGGAGGGTTCGGGGGTTGGGGGGGGGATTTCCCCAATTGAGGGTGGGGTCTCGGCAAAGCTAGCTGGATCTTGCAGTTGTTGCTGTTGTTTCCGTGAGCCAATTGGTATGTTTGTGAAATGGCAAACAGGAGTAAACCAACTATTTTGCAGCTAGATGTTTAGAAGTCACCGCCTTTTTTTTCTCTTCTTGGACTCTTTTTGCTCTTTTTGTGGATCCTTTGGGGCCCTTCCATACAGGTAGTTGTTGGGTCTCTTGCTTTGTCGGGATCCACCCCCCTTTGTTCCTTTGTTCCCTTGAGTGGGCGAAATATTTTCTGGGGTGCGAAAGAAAGATATCCTCTCCACGTTGCCATCCCTTCCTTCAGGAAACAGCGCTTCTTCCAGATCTCCAGAACCCCGTGAGGTTTCAAATATCCATTGTTTTGAAATCACCCTCCCATGGAAAAACACTCACAGAGGGGTCATGTCAACATTCAGGATGAGAGCAGGCCCTCTCCCATCCACCTGGAATAACTCACCTCACTTCCTTGAATTCCTGGACATTCGTCACTTGTTGGGAAGGCCATTGTAGGGGCAAACAAACAGTTCCAGGACTTTTTCCTAGGGGTTGATTCCCCATTCTTTTCAGCCGTGGTTCTTTTCAAACACCAGCCATGTCTCCAGGGTTGTTTGGTGGTTTTCTAGAAAGAAGGAATTTCGAAACCCAGGGTTTTTGGTGGTTTTCTAGAAAGATTCGGATCCTGGAAAGAATGGAGAATGAAGTTACCCCTAGGTCTTGGTTGGCCAATCTCCTGGATGAAACGTGAGTGACGGGTCCTCACACACCAAGCGCTTTGGCACTTTCGTGCATTTTGCTTGGATGTTAGGACTTTAACTTCTTGCCAACTAATGAGGTTTTCCGAATTGAACCACTACCCTCTCCCAGGCTAACATGGAAGCTTCTAGGGCCCCTTTGGAAGACTTGGTTCCATTTGCAGAGGCCAATTGGGGGAGCTTCCACGTTAGTCTGAGTCGGGTGTAAAAGTTTGTTGTTGTTGTTGTTGTTTGTTCTTTTCTTTTCTTTTTTCTTAAACAAAATAAAACTTTCGCAGAAAAGCAGACAGCAACCGACGGACGCCGATGGAGTCCGCAGGACTTCAGCTCTGGCGCCGCGGCGCGGAGGCGCTGCGGCTCTGCCGCCACGCGCGCCTGGAGCCGCGGACCCGGAAAGGGATGGGGCTCAAAATTTTAACAGCTGGGGCAAAACCGCAGGTTTTGGTCGTTTCCACTTACCGATCGGGTTCCATTTGGGTGCCGGTTTTTGGAGCCAAAGTTGGCGGAGCTGGAGGGGTCGGAGCCAAAAGGTGCAGAGTGGTGCCAGAAAAAGCTCTCAGGACTGGAGCCCAAGCCTCAAAGCCCATTTTGACCCAGAAACCTAGGGGAGGCCAAGTCCGGATGAGTCCGGATGGGTGGAAGTCATTTTCTTCATGGCCAAGGGGGGTTTGGCAGCGAAATGTGAGCGGGAAGGGACCGCAACGCGCATCCACTGAGCTGGACCCCTCACATGTTGAGCCAGCAACATGTTCTACCTTGTGGGCCAGACCGGTTCAACGTCCCAGCGAGGCAATTGCTTGAGGCTGCCAAGGCTTTAGCATCTAGCAGAACGGCATGAGCATTGTTTAGTCAGCTAGATAGATGTGTTGCATACAATGCTGGTAGCAATCATGTTGCTTATCCAGGCTCACTGCCAATCAGTATGATAACTCATGTCTCTCGGGTTGTTTGGGGTTTCTTGGGATTTTCATCCCCACGCTTCCACATGATTGGAGTTTTGACTCATTGGGCTTTCACAGAGCCACTCCTCGTAAGAACCCCACAAGCAGCAGAATGTTGACCATGACTCAAACTTGCTGTTCTTTTGGGGAGCTGGACGTGGTAGGCCCCCCCCCCCCCCCGCCCCCTTATTTTGGTTCACGTCGAATCTAGCTTGTGACACATACGACCTTTTTGACCAAACGGCGGCAGATTAAAACAATCCCTGGTTGAGCCACAAGCCGGACTCCCCACCTTGGCAGATTCAACATAAATTACCCCAAAAGGCTATGCTTTGAAGGAAGTTTGGCTGGGTTTAATTGAGCCGTGCTCCCAAAGCCCTTGTTGGCGCTTCGTACGGGGTTCAACTTCCTGGTTCAATGAGGCCGGACCCTACTACGACCAGTCAGCAAGTTTTTGAACCCACCTCAGAGGTCTTCATCAACCCAGACATTTTCGCCCCAGCGTTTTTGGGGCGACCGGCCCCATTTGCCCGTCAGGGGTGTCGAAGGAACGTGTGTCCGGCACGCGTCTTGTGGGCACGACCAGTCGAATGGAAGACACCGAGAGTCCGTAGGTTCAGGATCACGTCAGGCCTTCGGCTCCAGGAAGGTCTGCTGGAGTTTTTCCCCCCGCTGTGAGACCTTCGGGAATCTCTCCCTTGGGGTGAGTCTTTGGGGTTAGGCCCTTTTTGTATCACAGAAGTGGATTCCATTCCATCCACAGCCCTGCCCCAAAGGGTCCAGGAAGGCACCTCGGACCTCCTTTAGCGTAAGATTTACGAACGGACTGGAATCTAAGCATGTGTGGTTGGGGGCAATATCTGAGGTTGAGCATGAAACGAATGGGAGCTTTTCTGGGCTCATGTGGAAAGGACATGAACAGGAGGCCAGGAGTTTGGGAAAGAATGAATGTCATGGTCCGGTCGTGACGGGATCTGGCTTGATGCAGTCCCAATCTTCTGCACAAATTGGATTTTGCTGTAAGACATGTGATGTGACGTTGTTGCTAGTTTGTCGAATTCTGGAGAGTTGTGTTTATAGTAAACTTGTCTTTTTTTGGTGCATGTGAGCCGTTTGCACTTGGCGCATGCAATTAGGGAGGCTTGCATTGGCCCTCGCTGCACATTCATGTTTTCTATCAAACCCGTCATGTCCCCACTGTTGTTCTTTAGTAGGGGGCTGCAAAAAGCAATGTGTTTTGCACCCATACCAAGGCTTGTGAAGTTCCTCTTGTGGAACTCGTTTTATGATCTGTGAGGATATGATCGACGGCTCGGGCGGCCAAAACACTTATATAGAGTGGAGAGCATTGCAGCCCATTCATCGGAGAAAATGCTGGGCGTTGAAAAAGCTTGCGGCACGAGTCCACAATTCTGATAGTTGAAATTTGAAATCACCCGGCAATGAGAACGGGAGGTCTAAATGATTAAAAGGGTTCTGTTCCCAAGCAGCTTCTCTGCCTTTTGCGACTTGGCAAGCAAAACCCGGTGCTTGTTTGAGTCAAGAAAGATCTGAGGGATGACCGTGTCACCCCCAAAAGACAGTGCTACAAAACGCCGTTTCTTCAGCAAGCTAGGTGAGGGAGCCCAAATAAGCCCTGAATAAGGCCTTTATGAAGGCTTAATGAGGGCTCCCTCCCCCCTCCCCAGCCCCCAAGGCCAGACGGCATTGGCTTCAACTCCCTCATCAGCAGTTGCGTCAGAGGCGCGGGAGGAGGGCATGTCTGCCCATGGCATGTTTGTGCCGTTGAGTTGTGTAGGCCGCTAAACAGCAAGGTACGGTGGAGGTCGGATTGTTCACTAGCAGACTACAAGTCGGGAAGCGGAACTCTGCAATGTAGAGCCATCTTCGTGGGCTTTGTGCGAGCGGATGCGGCTGGTTCACTTGCTATTTCAGTCGGTTCCAATTGAGGTTCGAGCCATGATTCCTCAACCACCAAGATAACCCAGTACTTCCAAGACGCTAGTAAACTATGTCTTTACAAAAAGACGGTGTTTAACCCAAAAGACGGTGTTTACCCGTGAATGGCCCGTGAATGGGGTATTTGTTGGCTGGGCCCACGTGTGAAGTCAGCTGGGCTCGAAATTGAAAGCAACATGCATGCCTGCATGCCAAACAGTGTACATTGCCGTCATATGTGGCATATTTCCCATGCATGTGACAAGGTAAGCCTTTACGCTAGCTATGCAGCATGCACGGATATGGACCCCATGGATCAAGATTACCTTGGCCACAAACAAGTGTTTTCTGCTGTGCTGCGTGATTCATGCGATGGCATCAGCATGCAAGAAGTCACACGCGCAACAACAAACTCGTAGCATCACTGCGCAACAACGTGTCTTGGGTCGTGTCATGGGCAGGGCTACCGTCTAGGAGGTGGTAATTCGATGCTTGTAGGCTAGCTGTGCTGTCTGGGAATCGCAGACAACATCGATTTATTTTTGTATGCTTCACCAATATCGTTGACAAATCGGGGGCCGTAAGCCAACCGTGAATTTTGCGTGAACGGCGGAGTTTACCCGTGAAAGACGGAGTTGACCCGTGAAAAAAACGTGAATTTGTTCCCCCCCCCTTCCTAGATCCAAATACCACAGCCTGCTGATTCGGTCTGCAACAATTACATGGCTACAAAGCCGTTTGCCCAGCTATGTGGCGCGGACTAGATCCTTGGGCCTGCAAAAATTGGCCGCAATGTTTCCACGGAGTTCGCATGTGAGCATTGTACATTGGATTTTTCTGTGTAATGTGCATGGCAAGTGCGGACATCAAATCTCGGTCCACTTTTCAGAACGGTGCTATTGCAAGCCCTGAAGTGCAAATTGTGGTGTGTCCAGCCAGCCAATGGATGATCCTGGCGTGGTGCCTGATAAACGCCCTAGACTACACGTGCGCCTAGCCCTATCTTATCAAAAAATACAATTTTGCACAATATCAATACCAATCTGGCGCAAAAAAATGCGGTGGTCATGTCTCACTGCGCAATGGCAGAACAAGAGGTGAAAACCTGAGCAGCGTGAATGAGCGTGACATTTTTCCAAAGACCATGTTTACTCGCTGAAGACGTATGAAACGCTGTTTACTCATGTCTTTGGATGCCCTGGGCCAACGAATCCAAACCACCCTTCTCGCGTTGGAAATCGATCTGGTCGATGCTCTCTGCATCGTGTTTTTGCTTTTGTTTTTGCAGGCAGTTGTGCAAATACTAACAAGCAATGTTTTTTCATGATAATTAGGTGGTGCAGGATTTCGTCCATCCACAGTGGTGTTGGAGAATATGGGCGTGTCCTTTTTTGGCAGACCCCCAAACTGGCTTCAGCTTTCCTTCTGGTTCCCCTGAAAGCCAACCAAAAGGGACACAACCACAGAAAGACACACGCATATGATTCGGGCGACAAAACAAACAAACAGATGTCCTGTTTTGGGCCAATCCGCTCGGAACGCGAGTGGTTGTTTCCCCCTTGACACCCTGATGGCCTCTTCTCGGGTGTCCGACGGGCCTCGCAGCTTTAGGAAGATCGTCTAACATTTGTAGGGCCCGGTCGGGTGGGTGTGAAAGGACAGCCCAAAAAGGAGCACCACCTGTGTGTTTTTTTTGGGGGGGTCCCTAAAAACAGAACCCCTCAGGTGCCATGGTGGGGAGTAGATAGCTTGTTTTGGTTGTTTTGGTAGAACGTAGATGGCCCTCGACCTGGTTGTTTCATTTGCCAGGGCCACCGATTTCCCCTATGGGTGTGTCTTTTTTTGGGGTCCCCCAAAATGGTAGTTCTCTCTTTGGCTTCCGTCTAAAAGCCAAAAACAGGTACCCTCCAACAAAGCACACAGGCCTATGAGGGAATGAGCCCATGAAAACCATAAGGGATGGTTTTCTGCGGGTCATTCCCACATTCCCTACGTTGTGGTGCATTTGCTTGGATGTCAAGACTTTTAACTTTCTGCCGACTAATGGGTTTTCCATTAAACCACCCAAACTTAATCTTTTAGCAGGGGAGCAGAAAGCAACCGAGTACCGTTACCTATCGCACCATTTTTTTCAACCGGAGACCGGTAGCTTCTTGAGGCCGGCGCTGGGCCCATGCCTTCGCCATAGCTGTTGCCACCCGCGCGGATGCCTATGGCCGGCGCAGCGCCGCCGGAGGTGACGAGTGCCACGCGCTTTGTGTTCTTCTTTTTTTCATGGTTGTTGTTGGGAAACATTTTACGTTTTGCTTATTGTGGTTTAGTGGTTGAAATCCCCACTTTGCTGCTAACATTTGATTTTTTGCTCCCCTTCCAACGTCAACCAAGGTTTTTTGTTTTGGGGGGGGATCTTGGGGGCAAATGGTAATATGCACCCCCCCACCAACTCACATGGAACTGCGCACGGCCCCTTTCCAAGAGGAAAGTAGTTTTGCTACAACGGTCTGTGCACTTCCATGTTAGTCGGTTGTTAGTCGGTGGCAGGGTACATCATAGGCACATGATATATATATATATATACATATATATATATATATATATATGGGTCTGTCCTTTATAGGGTACCCTAGAAACAGGGTTGGTTGAAAGGGAAGCCAAAAAGAAACCAGCCATTGCGCGGGTTCCCAAATTTTTTGAGACCCATTATATATATAATATACACATACATGAGTCAATGAGCTTGTTTGAGCCCTCCAGGGAGCAAGGCTTGTCTTCTTGTGCGATCGGTGCTGACGACCTGAGCATCCACCCTTGACAGGTTGTCAATTTTCGAGTGCCCTCAAAACAAGCCTGGTTTGTTGCACAGGCGAAACCTTTGGAAAAGCAGTCCGCTTGTTTCACGAGGCATCAAAGTCATTAAGTAAGCCCCGTCTTTTTCTTGAGACAGCCACTGACAGATCATGAGGAAATCTTTCGAGGCCCGTGCTTTGTTGATAGCGTATCGGACATGACATTCCAGAGTGCCATGAGGCCCTCACCATCTCAGCGGAATAAATTCTAAACCAGTCTGGTCACCTACAGCTTCAACGCCAACGCTACCATGGCTTTGCAGTTGAGCCCCATGGCTTCCGGGGGGGGGTTCTGGCTGCGCGCGCAGCTCTGAGCCGAACCCAGTTTGTGGGCCTGTGACAGCGCAAAAACCTTGCTCCGGTGTCACGAGAAAGGGTCAAGGCGTTTTCGCCGGCCTGCGCGTCACAGGGTGCCTGGTCCTAAGCAGGACAGCCCTGTCCAAGGCCAACCTCTTGCCGGTAAACAGTTGCGCCGCAGCTTTCCTTGTACATGATCAGCTTTCTGTACTCCCCTGAACAAATACAAATCAAGGTGGCCTTGCATGTTTGGCACTCTCAAAAAGGAGACTCGCGTGCGAGTGTGAATTTTGCAACCTGCATCATGTTTCAAAGGTGTCTATTTTGGAGCGTGAAGAGAGCCCGAATTCTTTTCTCTGCCCACGAAGCCGGCGCAACCTTCGTCATCAATTGGTTTCCTACTGTGTCTAAGGGGCTGTGGGAATTTACCTAAAGTGACCATCCTATTCAAGAACCCGAAGATTGGTCAAGTACCAAAACGAGTCTTCATGTTTAACGCAGTGCTTGTCGTAGAGATATTGTGAGTTTTCTATTGTCAGGGGGGTACCCCCCTGGAAATGGTCCCAACGAAAGCCCTCTCTACCCATAGACCCCATCAGTCGCCCGCCGCCCCTGGCATTGGGATTGGCGGATGGCGGGCATCCGCAGGCAGCCACTGGCGGCTGGCTCTTGCCATTCTGGCGCCAGAGGCGGGAACTCCCGGCTCGCTCGCACGGGAACCCGGGCACACAGGATTTCTGCCTCGGTTCTTGACACGTTGGTTTTGGCTTCTTCCCCCAGAGAGCCGAAGGCTGTTGGAGGTGCTAGCATGTTTTGTTCTTCTTTGCTATTTGGGGTCTGTGCTGGTGTAATTTGTCTTTTGCTTTGCTCGTCGTCGAAAAACAAAAAAAAAAGGGGGGTTGCGAACAAATACTAGCGTGGGTTTTGTACTGGGGGAGGTTGCCCAAATCCTTGAGCTTTTGTGCCACAACGCTGAGATTTTGACAGGGTCGCTGAACTGTCCGTTTAAGACGACTTTGTTGGACAATTGTTTCACATCCTGAAAGCGTGGGAATCTTTTGCAAGGCTTGCCACATGCCAAACTTCTCTCAGGCACTAACCGAACCGCACCTACTCAAGATTGAGCATTAATGGTGTACGAGTACTAGTTAGAGCAAGTACTTGAACCTAGCCCTCGGTTTTCTCAAGGCGTCATCAACGCTTTATCAACGCCCTCTTGAAGCTTAGTCAAATGTCTTAAATGTCATCAACCGTGGTGAGACTAATTGCGTATCAACATCCGCTGCACCCAATTTGGCTTCCCAGTGTAGGTTCAACACTGCTTCTTTTCTTTCTTCAGTTATTTGTTCCGACTGGTGGCAAGACTCCCACTTGAGGAGCGGTCGGCTCGGCGCGCCGCGGTTTTGGCGTCCAGCGGCTGCTCCTGGGCTCATGCGCTGCACTGGGCACGAGGCGCGGTTTTGTGAGGGACTCTCAGAATGCTGTCCTCTGATTCATATCCGCCCCGGCCCCCGCTCAGTATCAAGGGGGAGCGCTTTTTTGTGGGGAAACCTTTCTTCCCGCAGGTTACCCCTGATGAATACTTGATTTGTGGGATAACCCACAATCATGCAAATTCCGCCTTGGGCCAGTCACCACTCCCTTGCGTGGCTGACTCCGCACGCCTTATGCACTGCACGTAAATACAAATATACCAAGCACGTCAGCCAAGTACAAAAGCACGACGGTCCCAAATCAGGTCCGGGCGAGTCCCACAGAGTCCACTGGCTGTCGTTGTGCTATAGAAAGCGCTGGGAAGTGGCCCAAAGCTTTCCCAATCCAGAAAACCACCCCTTGAAGTGAGGTTGCCCGGCGGGGGTGGGTGAAAGGGAGAGGTAAACCAATGCGGGGGGGTCAAATGGGTCTTTCACCAGTTTAGAACTGGCTTGAAGTATTGGTGAAGTATTGCTTTGTGCTGCTTTAGTAAGGGCTTAGTGGCATTGGCTAATATTGGTTCAGTATTGGTTCGTTATTGCGTCGTGCTGCCTCAGCACTGGCTTGGTAGTGTTTAGTGTTGGCCTAGCATTGCTACGGTTGTTTTCGGTCCTCTTCCGTCCTCTTTGGTCCTCGTTGGTCCTCGTTGGTCCTCTTTGGTCCTCTTTGGTCCTCTTCGGTCCTCTTCGGTCCTCTTTGGGTTTTCTCTGACTAGTACTGGTTTTGAGTTTGAGTATTCCTTTGAGCTGGCCCAGTTCTGTTTAGATTTGGTTTGGTATTGCCTGGCCTTGCCCGAGTACTAGCTTAGTATTGGTTCGGTTGAGTTTCTTCGGCCTGGAGAACGGATGCGCAATTGGGTACCCCGATTTTATTTTTGTTATTGTGTATTTGGGCTGGCCACGTACTACCCCCTTGGGCAGTTTGTGGGCTGAGCACTTTTATAAAACAGGAGATGCAAGGACATCAGCCATTTCGGGACGGGTGTTGTTTGCAGAGATCTGACTTTCTCAGTACTCAAAAGAAAGAACTCGTGAACAAGAAGTGAGTGGGAATTACCAGAGGGCCGGGGCGGAGAGAGGGTTGAACACTTGGGTGCCCCTTTTTCATTTCTACTATTGAGTGTTTTGGGGGTGCCAAGTACCACCCCTTGGGCATTTTGGAAAATAGTAAGCCAATAAGCCAATGTTCGCCTGCAACATTCCCCACACCAACTCCGGGGGAGGGGGGGGCACTTTAGAACCAGTACTAAAGCAATACTGAACCAAAACAAATAGCAAACCAATTGCAAACCACCTTTGCACTATTGATGACATCTCTGCAAACACCTTATTCGGAAATTGCCATGGTTCAAGAATTGTTAGACTCGGAAAGGGGACCATGGACCCCTCCCGCCCATACCTGAATGTCATTGGTAATGGACAACCAAATGCTGGTCCGCACCAAGGCGAAGATGCGTATCGGAATGGATTGCAAACACACATTGTCTGATGAAGGCTCACTGCTTTGCCACGCTCATCTTTTTGGCTTGGCTAACGCTGTGTGACCCTCTATCTTGAAGCTTGGGCGTGATGGCAGGTGTGCGCCGCAATGTCATCGTTTACAACTCGGCGGGGAGCCCAGAGTCACGACCACGACTTGATTCCAGGTGCTTATCGGCATTTGTTCTTTCATGTGTTTGTTGCTTATCTTGTGGGGAGCTCTCTCGGGTCACTGACCAATGTTCAAGGAGTCTTCCACTTGTGGAGTTCACGGCAATGTCTAGAAATATTGGGATATGGGGAGTTGCTCAGTAAATACTCCTATGCTCATCATTCCGGCCCCTACAGTATACTACATAATGTACATGCATCTGATTTAATATCTTAGACAATCCCTAGTTTCGGGCTTCCTTGGGCCACGTTCCATTCCAGGCAGCTGGCGAATGTAGTTGTTCTTTTCGTGTTTTGACCGGGCATGTTTTTTGAGGTAACTCCTGGTTGGCGGTTTGGAGTGGTTCGGGGAATCGAAGCCTGGTTCTAGGGGGCAAATGGGTTTCCAGCTTCGTTTCGCCACCGGGCTCCACCGATCCGGCTCCAAACCACCAATTGACCAATTGGAGGGAAGCTGAAGGTGTTCTGGTCCACCAATCCCTCTCGGTTTCCCTTTAAAAACCAAAAACACATTCCTCTTGGTTTCTCTTCAAAGCATGAGGGATGTTTGGTTTTACAACTAGGCCCAGTGGTGCCCTTCTCTCCCCTGTTTTGGGGGGAGGTCCCCTTTTTCTAAGCTCCAAAACTGGAGGATGTAGGTAGGATCCCAGTCAGGGGACCCCCCTTTTCAACCATCGTTATTTACGAGAACTCCAACAAGACGAGGCCATGGCCGGCAGTCCCTGGCGCACCGCCCGACAGCTGCTGAGCCCGGGCTCCCACGTCAGCCCGGGAGCTCGGACGTCCGGGAGTCGGCGGGTGGGGCGCTGTGGGGCCTTTGAACTGCTTCTGTGTGCCGAATTTGTTTTTTTGTTTTGTTTTTTTTGCATTACAACCATAATATATATATATATATATATGTTGTGGTTTTCCCTTGATAGTTTAAAAGGGAATCTATCACTGCTGCAAATATGTTTTTTGCCAGGCGGCTTAGGCAGATGGAAGGTTGTGTTTGAGGGCTGTGATACAGCCGCCAGTTTATTTTGAAACCACGCCGGGAAGTGCTCAAGCTCCAAAACTCAGCACCAATTTGGGGGAAGCCAAGAGTGCTGTTGAAGTATGGTCGACAAGGACAACTGGACGAGCAAAAGATTGCTCCCAACGAAAAAGGCATATTGAACCACCAAAACCATTAGGATAATTAACGGGGCCTTGTGTTGACTCTTGAAGCATTCATTGGTCCGGTTTGGGGTGGGAGTTACGACGATGTTTGTTACCTTTGTACTGGTGCACCACATAAAGCAGCTTCCGAGGGGTGATTCATTGAGACTTCATTAATTCTCTGCTCAAGTTCACAAGCATTCTTGAGCTTGGACTGTGCCCAACGAATGTCCATTTATGGACATGGGTATTGACCTTCTGCCTTGGATCATTGCACTGCGGACAACAGTTGAATTCATGACACTTGTCAACATGGCAGACCTCCAATCATGGGGCGATGTAGCCACAATTCCGGGGGTCCGGGGGCATAGTGCTTTTCCACAAGGAAACTCATGTTTGGTGCAAGATCCTTGGTGTGGTGCCGCCTGACGGCTCTTACACCGTACTCCTGGCGCCAGTTCTCTTACACCCCAAAGCTTCCAAACCCCGCAACCCCAAACTTCCCCGAAGCAGTTCAACCAACCTCACTCCCTCAAATCTTCCACTTCCAAAGCTCCAACCCCCTCCTTCAACCTCCCCACACCACACCTCCCTCCAAACTGCCTCTCGAACTCCAATCCCATCCTCCATTTGCTTAAGACTATGTTTTACTTTCCGTTGTTGGTTTTAAAAAGGAATCTATCACTACTGGACATTATTCTTATTTTTTCCTGGGGCCTTAACCAAATTGAAGTATGGAAGTATGGCCTTAACCAAATGGGGCCTTACTACCTGGAGTCTCCATGACCCTTAAAAAATAGGTTCATGACCCCATTATAAAATGTAATGACCCCATTTTTCAAGGGTCAGGAGGAGACTCTAGGCACTGGCATTTGTTTTATTCCTCTTTTTTTTTTTTTCTCCGGGGGGGTCATGGAGACTCTAGGTACCGGAAATTCGTTTTTGGTTTCCTCCGGGCGAAAAGTTGCAAACGCCAATGGAGCCATGCTGGCGAGGCTTCGGCGCAGCCCTGGGCGCCTGTAAGCCGGGTGCCTGGCGCCCGGCGCTGGAACTCTTGGGCCGGATGCTGGCGCGGAGCCCAGAAGCCAAAGGCCGAAGGCCGTGGAAGCCTGGGGATGGCTCTTGAGGAATTGGAAGGGGTATTTGTTTTTTATGTTTTTTGTTTTTCCGGAGTTTCAGGCTTGTGAGAGGTGTTTTTGTTGTTGGATGGTTAGCAATGAATGTTTTTGTGGATGTTCTTGGCAGGAGATTGAATTGGACCCCTCCCCCCCCCCCGCCACACTCGCCTAGGGCCCTGGGAGTTGCTTGGAATCGGACCGAACATCCGGCGTGGGCGTTGGATCTACCTCTGGCCAACGCACTCCCTGAGTTCAGGGAATTCTTTTGGGGAAGACCGGTTCAGAGGCGAACCAAAAGGTTGGATGTTTTCGGCCAGTCCATTGAGGAAGTGAGCAAACCTGCTTTCTTCCCGAATGACTTCCGAGGAGAAATAGAGGGACCCTGCGACATCAGCAACACGCTTAAGGCAGGCTTAGAGCGCACTATCAAGCAACATGAACCCTGATTCTTGTAGACTTCCCATGCGCCTAGTTTATGCGAAGGTCTGGTCCGAACATCTGACACGCCCCTCGCTCGCTTGAATTGAAACCGCCAACTGCAGCATTGTGTGACTGTATACTGGAGGGAACCCTAGGGTACAAGAAGGTCCATGGCCTTGGCCTTCTAAGGCCGTCTTACCGGCTTCACCCAAGCAATTCCCGCTTTATCTGGACGGACAGCCCCAATTATTGGGGTCAGCTCGAGCCAGTTCCCCGTTCGCCCTGAGCAGTCTGAGGTTCTCAGATTCGCCCCCAACCGAATTTGCGCGTGCCTCAGTGCGGCTGCAACTGACTTGCGCCGCCTTTGCATCTTTCAGTCTTGGCTTCCACTTGCTTAAGAATGTGTTTCATTTTCCCCTGTTGGCCTTGAAAGGGATCTGTCGCTGCTGGGCATATGTGGCTGTGGGTCAAAACCAATGGTACCATTTTGGGGTAGGTGCGCCACCCATTTTAGTCTATTTGAGTGGGTATTGAATCGGATGTTCACTGGGGGTATGGGATTTTGATTTTGACCCATGACCATGTTCTGATCTTTTTCCAGGGAGCGAAAAGGCCAATGGTTTCGGTGAGGTTGCAATGCGGCCCTCGCCTGCGTAGGGCCATCTGCCTGGTGGCAATGCCTGCAGCTCCTGCGGCTGGGTGGCCAGCAGCTTGCAGACAGCGCCGCGGCCAGAGATTTGACCTCTGAAGGAACTTAATTACATAGAGAGTCAACTTGGGTGCATGTTGCCAAGGGATGTTAGGACTTTCACTTTTTGCCAACATTGATAGGTTTTTCGAATGAAACCACTAAAAGTTAAACTTTGAGCAGGGGAGCAGAAAGCAACCGAGTCAAGTAGCTTTGGGTATCCCCTGGCTTTTTTTTTTTGGAAGTGGTGGAGGGTGATTTATGAGGTCACCTTCATTTAACTGTCCTGGAGCCATTTGTAGAGGGGATCTCCACCATGTTTTACGTTTCTTTGCTGGGTTTGACCCTGTATTGAAACCTTGCACCTATGCTTGGGGTCGTTGCAACCAACCGGAGGAATTGGTCCTTAGGACGCCAAGATATGGGTCCGTCTTTTGCGAGGGTACCCTTTTTGTTAGTGTTTTAAGGGCAAATTGGGGGGGGGGTCGGCCCCCTTAAAAAATCACTCCCGTGTTCTTAGTTTATCATTGGTTTCCTTCGAACCGTCCAAAACTCGGTCTCTGGTTTGGCTTCCAATGCTTTTTAAGCGTTGGCGGCGCTCGGGGAATTCCAGTTTAAATACGCCGGCAGTGTGCGATGCACAGGTCTAATGCGTGATTGCTGCCACCCATTCGTGGCAAAACAAATAAGGCTGCTATCCATTAGCACCACGCCGGAGGCATTTTCTCGACACACTTCGGGTGTTCGTTGCTGGCATGCAAACAATGCTTGCTAGCTACTAGCATTGCTTTGCGCTAGTTCATTTGGAGATACACCTATGTTGGTTTCACTAAATGCGCTCCGGTTGTTACGTTTTGCATTCGCTTCAAATGTACCCAAGGCTTGCCACTTTGAAACAACTATCCATGTAGCTCTCTCCCTCTCTCTCTCTGTGTCTTAGAGGGGATCCGCCCGTGGTTTCCTAGTGACTTTGTTCGTGTCACCGTTTGAGTTCTTCTATTCCATGAAAAAAAAAGTGTTGACTTTTGTTTTTTTGTGACATAGTCTATGTCAAAACCAAGCGTTGACGTGTATGACATGGAGTGTCCACGAAACGCACCTCCGAGATCCCTCTCAGATTCCATGGTGTCATTCAGGCAGCTTCATCCTCGCGTCGAATCTGCTGGCCGCGGGGCAGTGGCATCGCGCTCACGGACCGAGAATTGAGCCCAAAGCCAATCGAGCCCGAGCGAATTCTGGTGGTGTCCGTTTTGATCTTTTCTCGTGTTTTGCGCACCAGGTGCATAGAAGACATAAGGCTGGTGAGAAGATGGAGACCAAATTGTGGTTGCAAAAAGTGGGTTTAGTTGCGATAGTCTGACGCGAAATGCGTGTTTGTGTGTTTTTTTTTTGTTTTTTTTCTCGGAATTGCGCTCTCGCCATGGTGCCTGCCAATTTCATGAATGAAATTGCATTTCATGGCTGCCCCTGAGGTGGGAGGTTATTTCAGGCAGCACCGCACCAAACGGTTTTTCTCCGGATAGCTTTAGCTTTGAGTTCCTACTTCTAAGAGGAGCTGGTTTGCGATCTCGGGCCAGGCGGCTGTGTTGCTGTCAGGGTGCTGTGGTGCTGGTTCTCTCTTTTGAGGCTGGTCAAGGTGTGCTGTATCAGGATGCTGTTGTGGGCTGAGTTGCGGGAGGTGGTTTAGGGCTGGCGCCGGTCATGGTGCTGTTTGTGTTTGTGCATATATATATATATGGCGCATAATGTTTTGCGGTTGTGGTTTCATCACTGTCAAAGTCGCCTTGATGCTGCTGGATTCATTACAGGGCGCGGTTTGCGTTCACAGGTAGCGCGCAATGGTTGTTTGGCTGTGGTGTCATCATGGTGCTGCCAGAATCGTGATGTTGCTGCCGCTCATCCAGACGCTATTTGTCTTTATTGTTTTTGGCTTCGCGTTGCCCGCCTCGGCCGGAACTGTCATTTGGTTTGTGTTTGTTTGAGTGAAGAACCAGGCAAATCCCTCTAAAACCGGTCCAACTCCCCCCCAGAAACCGGTCAAATCCCCTTCTGGAAATCAGTCAAATCCCCTCCAACAAACCGGCCCATATCCATATTTGCCCAGAAACCGGTCAAATTCCCCTATAGGAACCAGTCAAATCCCCCCTACAAACTGGTCAAGTTCCTTAAAGATGTCCCAGCTGGGTCTATGGTGGTGTAGTTTGTTTGTAAAGCCCAAATTGCACTCTTCATGGCAGGGTTACAAAGAGGGGGAGATACCCTCGCGCGAAACACTCGTTTTGCGTGGTGGATCTTGGCGGGAATACCGAGCTGTCAAACAAGTGCATTTTCCTCGTTTGCATCACCGCTTGGGGTTTCCAACATTTGAGTGGGTTCCTAAGAGGTCGGAGTTCGCGCGGCAAATCAACCACAAGCTCAACATCGTAGACCCCTCTGGAGGCGAATGAAGCCGCAAGGACACATACAATGGGTGCGCTTGTTTTGTGGGCCGCATCACTCCCAGATATATTCAACTTGGGTCCTGGCCGGGAAAGCGGGGTTCCATTTTGTTGCAAAGCCCAATACGGGGGTTTCAGGCAGGCATGCGGGTTTTTTGTAAGTCTCTTCAGCAGGTTGGGGAGCCGACTCACTAAGGGATTCATCTCAGGACCTCTTGCGTGGTTGTGCAAACTCCCAGAAAACGTGTTGATCCCTTCTGCGTGAGGAGAGGCCTCTTTACTTGAACCTTTACCTCAATCACAAGAGGGGAGACTCGCTTTTGACTTGGTGGGTCTCTTCTTTGCTGAGGGCCTCCGGAGTGTTCTGGTCATCAGTCCTGCTGTCAATGGCATATCGCTGATTCAGGAAGGTGGTCAAGCCTTGCTTCCCTCCGCAGCATCTTGATTAGCGAGTTATATTTTTCTGGTGAAACGCAAAGATCTATCGCGTCCCTCGTGTTTGGGCTGCTTGTTCAGAAGCATATCGCCATCCAACACGGAGGCACCCCCAACGACTGCCTACGTTTTGGTTTTGCAAATTGAACCTTTGCCCCCCAAGCAAAACGGCCTATTCTTGCCACCAACTCGAGGTAATGCAATTTTCAGTCTGTAAAAGCATGCGCATTCACTGGAGTCTCGACTCTGAGCCAAATGAGCGGCTGCCCCACTTGGCACGGATTCTGCCCAAATGATTCTTATGGGCCCTTTTCAATTGGCTCGCTCCACGAATTTCACGAGGCGCCTCGCAGTTGCGCGCGTCGCGTTGCTGCAGCAAAAGCTGCCAGGTTTCGCGGAAAGCTGGGCCCACTAGACTGGGAAGCGCGCGTGATCTGCCCTAGCCCGCGCGATGAAAGGGGTCAGCGCCAGCGAGGGAAGGTTGCGAAGTGGGTCGTGTCGGCGCGAGAGGCGAAGGTCAAACAAGAATCCCAAACACATGCCAGAACGCCACACATGGCCACGCGAAACAGAAGAACGCCGTGCGCGAAAGGCAATGCCACTCGTCTGACATTCCTGCATCGACGACATTCTAGATGACTAACTTTTTACATGACAAACTTGGAAACTCAATGATTATCAGGACCCTAGCTCTTGGCACCTTTTGATCGGCCTTGGCAATCCTTGCAGTTGCACGCTGTGAGGGCTCCAGGCGTTCTAGACCTTTCAGAAACCTTTGCTGGAAAGACGGGCTGAATGAAAGAGTTTGGTGGTGTCCAAGGGCCAAACCATTTGCAGCGGGCAGTAAACTATGACGTCGCGACGGTGGCGTTTTTCCCCTGCCCGGGCACTTTGTTTGACCCTCGGCGTTTTTCCCAAACATTAAATGTCTGCCTTCGACAAAGCCAAATTTCTTGCGAACCAAGCTTCTAGGTATGAGGACTTGGCAGGTTTTGTCCTGAATGCTAGGGGGCCCTTGGTAGCCGTGCGCGGCCAGGGCGCAGCATGAATCTTCTTGGTCAAATGAAAAGTAGAGCCTCCATGCTACGTTTTTGCCAAGCCAAGTTTCTGCGGTTTGGCCAAGCCAAGTTTCTAGCTCAGTTTGCTACGTTCTTGCCAAGCAAAGTTTCTAGCTATGTGATCAGACCGGTTTGGCACTGTGTGGTCTTCTGGGCAGGACTTCTGGGACGAAGGAATTCCGTGGCCTGCGGCTTGGCACTCAGCGCCCTCGCGGTCGGCGACGCCTGGCAGTCGGCGGAGGCGTTGCTCAGGCGCGAAGGTCCCGAAGCGAAGGCCCAGCGAAGGCTTTTGAAAGGCGAACCAAAGACAGAGCCAAAGACAGAGCCGACTTGCTGTTCTAAATGCGAAGCTATTGGATCCACCCGTTTCTTATATAGCAACAATGTATGTTTCAGAAGTGAAGCATAGACTACGTTTCAGACACACCCGTTTCTCCTCGAAAGCGACAATGTATGTTTCAGCAAGCGTTCAATCGGGGTTCGTGCCAGGGTTCATTTGCGCACGCATGCGTTCAGCCCTTTGCTTGTCCTTTTTGGATTGGCTGGTGGTAAGTTTTAATGGGTGGGAAACCCAAAAGTGGACAATTGTCTGAGTCTGAGATCACACTCTCCAAAAATTGGTTGAATCCAGGATATCTCCAAAAGGAATCAACTATCGGGGAAAAGGATGTTTTCTTCTTGCAGAAGAACAACCATGGTTGTTCCTGGCCTCTGGGCAAGCAAGTAGGGTTGGGGCATTACCGTGTGCACCTTCAACCCCATTTGTTAGAACCACGGTGTTTGCAAAAACCAACCCTCCCTCCTTCCCTCCCTCCCCCTTCCCTTCCCTTCCCTTCCCTTGCCTTCCCTTCCCTTCCCTTCCCTCCCTCCCTCCCTCCCCATTCCCCGGGATGACGCAAAATATGACAGGGTCCTCTTTCTCCTGAGTACGTAAAAACATAGAGTTCTCGCTTGCGCCGAGGACCCGGAAGCAAAAAGTTAGCCTTTCGGGACTAAGACCAAAGTAGACCAGAGCCAAAAACGAAACAACCCCTCACTTAAGCCCTTAGGCCTTAGGGCTTTATTCCTCCAACCCCCCCCCCCCAGCCTCCTCCCTCCCCCAGCCCCAATGAAGTCATGGTCATGGACATTTCCCTGACAATCCCCAGGAGTGCCGTGCACTCGCGGCTCCGGGCGGACGTGGCCATGCACAACTGCGCCGCAGCCCGGTGGCCGGCGGCGCTGGGTCTCCTGGGCGCTTGGATCGCATGGGACGGCAGACACATGGAAAGACCTCTCAAATGACTTTGCATTTTACCAGTGACTCAAAGTGAAGCAAACGATAAAATATACATTAACTGGGCCCAGCTCTAATGTGATGTCCTCCGTGTCTTCGGGTTCACCGAAAATTTTGTGGTTCCCAGAATCTAAAGTGTGATCGTTTGGAGAGTTCACCTATAGTGAGGAATCTCACATTCAAGGAACCTGGGCGCAGCTCTCGAAAGGCTGCAGCCTTGGGCTCAGAACCATGGAAAGGGATACCTAGGCAAACAAACCCTGGCTGGTCGATTCAGAGCTCAGGATGCAAGAGTTACACAACCTTACAAACAACAAATATCCTGACAGGCGTCAGGATTTCTTCGTGCGATGCAGGAATTGCATAGTGAGGGTTTATTTCTGCAAGCCTTATTCTAACTTGCATGGTGCATCAACACAAACCTGAGTCAGACCAGTTGGTATGACAGCATGATTCTCGTTTCGCCCTGCATTGTGTGTCCGTGTCACTGAGCCCTTGGAAAGCAATGCAATACCTTCAACAATGTGGTTACAAATTAGGTTCAAAGTGTTCTCCCTTTGGGGAGGGTAGAATGGAATGTGGCCGGTAGATTGGGCATCTCCGACAGAAGGACTTGCCCAACCTTTTCGGATCATTCTTAAAACCTTTGGCGCATGATTGCCCCTCTTCCTGAGTTCATGGACTTTGAACTTTTTGGGGAAGACCATTGTAGCGGCAAAAAACAGTTCCGTCACTTTTTGGTCGGTCCACGAAGTGAGCTCTGCCATTTTGTTTGCCGAGGCCGGGTGCGGGACGCGGGCTTGGCGCCCAACGGCGCCACCATGGCCCAGACGCTCCTGGCGCACGAGAAGGCGGTGGGCGGGCGGGGCGGGCTGGGGTGGGGTGGGGTCCGGTGTCTCAGCCCGCACCCATTGGTCGCCCATTTCGGGCAGTTGGTGGTTCTTGAATGTTTGGCTGTCAAAAGAGCAGGACCACCGCCCCCAAAAAAACGCAAGACAAAAGGCTTCTCGTTTTTCCAGCCGCCGAAAAGCTTTCAACTTAACGGTTCGAAGCCCAGTAAAGTCGTTCTGTTCCAGCCGCCTTTTTCCAGCCTGACTGTTCCAGCCGCCGCGTTCGAATAGGAAAGCTTCCAACTTTAAGTCGTTCCTTGTGGCCTAGTGAAGGAATTTTCTCGGATCGAGCTCAGAGGGCTGAGCTTCGTTGCGCTTTGCATCGATGGGTTTTCACGTCTTTTTTGGTTACACCGTTGGGAACATCTCACATGCTGGTTGCCTGAGAGAAAGTACAGCCAGAACAAATTGAGATATTATGTTCTATGATGCTGCGCAAACAACAGCCATCTAGAACTTGTGGAACCCATGTATGGAGGCAATACTATTCAACTCACATGGCCATGGGTCAAAATCCAAATCGTTTCCCCAGTGAACATCCCAATCCAGCCACTAAAATAGGTCGTAAAATGGGTGGTGAATTCACCTACCCACCCAACTGGGATCCCAAAACGGTTTTGACTACCACAGCCACAGAAGACTCAGAGCAACATCCAGCCAGACCCCTGCGACAGGCGTCCTTGTGGCAGTTGGGCTGCCTCCTCGTCCCGGCGCCGCAGGCATGGGGAGCCCACTGATTGCATTGAACACTACATGGCTACATGATCTATTTGGCTATTATGTATATATATATATACATATATATATATATATAATGATATATATATATATATTATCTATACACACAAAACCATATATATATATATGCACACAGATATTGTACTTCTTGGTTTATGTTCTTTCTGGTGAGGACGTGGGTCTGCGGAATGGGCTGCTGGCCGCCTGCGGCCGCGGCCACTGGTGGTGCCTCAGCTTGGAGCTGCTGGGCGGCTTCCGGAGGCGCAAGTGGGTCGGGTGGGCCGGGTGGGGTGGGGTGGGGTGGGTGTGCCGCCCTAAGCTTCCATGGTGGTTCTATGAACCCCCTTTGTTTTAATGGTGGTCTGAAACCCAGGGCATGTTTTTTTTTCGTCAGTTTTTGTCCCTTTTTTAACATGGTGACTTTGGGAAAGCTGCCAATTGTTTGTTCCTTCTCTAAGGGTTTTGATGCATTTTGGGGCACTTCGAAATTTGCAAAATGGATGGCCGGGATGACCCTTAGGGCCTTAGGGCGGAAGCTCCCCCAATTCGCCGATCCTACTGGAACCTTCCATGTTAGTTTGGGTAGTTTCATATTTTTGGCGGTTCAGTTGCCTCGGGCTTGGCGCGAAATAGCGAAATGTGGGAGTCCAGGCGATACGACGGAACTATTGAAGCGTATGTATTGCTCCTGTTTGGTTGGGGGCTGCACAAAAACAGGCTGACATGCACCCTAGAATCTCTGAAAAGGGGCTTTGGCGTTATGTCACAGCAATAGATTCAGAGGGGCATTTTTTGGGACCATTGAGGAAGGTGGTGGATGCCAAGCTAGAAAGTGGCCTTCCTCGCGGGACTTTTACCAGTTGCTGCGGTCTTTCCAAACGGAACCCGCTCTTTGGCTTTGAAGCGAGATCACACCCAGCCACCCATTTCGCATAGGGTCGAAATATCCAACCCTCCCAAACATGGAAGTGCGAAACGCCGCTTTTTTCCAAGAGGAAAGTCGTCTTTCAGGGGTCTACGCATTGCCATGTCGGTGTGGCTCAATATTAAACAGGAGGGGCAAACCGCAGGTTTTGGTCCATGTTTGCACTTACCAGGGTTCCATTTTGGAATTCCGGTTTTTTGAGCCACAGCCATGTTAGTTGGTGGGAGGGTAATTTGGGATCAGATCAGCCCGGAGGACGAGGCTGGTGGCGGACAGCATCAGCTTCAACGCGACCATCGACGTGTGCGAGAAGTGCAGCAGGCAGAACCTCATTCCACGCCCAGCATGGTTGGTGGTTGGTGGTTGGTTGGTTGGTTGCCCCATCCACTGCTTTCTCAAAAAAAACAAAACGACTAAACTCCCAAGTACTGTACAGTAATTAACACACAAGCAGGGGGGCGGGGGGAGGGCTGGGTCAAAAAAAACAGAAGTGACATGTGAGATCTCTGTGTGTGTGTGTGTGTGAGTGCGCGCTTCTGCGTGTGCTTTTGTGTGCTTTCGTCTCTGTGTGGAATTGGTTCCAAAGTGAAAAGGCCAGCTGGAGGCTCATCAATATTCCTGACCCCTGAATGACCATTGGCAACTTATACCATTTAATGGGACATCTTCCTTTCGTGGCTTTTCCCCACCAATGGTCATCCCGTGTTCTCCGGACCCTATGATCAACCCCCACATGATCCTAAAATGATGTTCGCCAGGTGGGCAGAGTCCCTGGAGCTTTTGGCCACAGCTCCGTCGCCGGACGAGCGCAGCCTGGACCCCGGCCGGGCCTTTCCCCCGGATTTTGTTTTCCTCTTTTTGTTGGAGGGGGGAAGCCAAAGGAAACCACGCCACATTATTTTTCCACGTGATTTTTCCAGATGATGTTGAGATGAACTCATTTCCTTGATTATTTTCCTTTCAATTGCATCACCTGCGCCTGAAATGAGCTTGCCCAAGCTAAATCGGGCCTTGTTAAAAGGCGGCAACTTTTTGTCTGCACCTTGAAAAAGCATCGCCTCTTGTCAATGTCAATGGCTGACTCCAAATTGTTCTTTTGCATGGCTTTCAAAGGGAATCCAAGAGGGAGCCAATCACTGTACGCCATTATCATATTTTCAGACAATCCCACGCGTGTGCAGACAAGTGTGGTCACCCTTCTTTGGAAGATGAATGAGTTGTGGATTGGAACGTTCATGTGTATAAATGAATGAATGAAACTTCATGACATGACATGAAATGACATAAAATGACATGAACTGGAATGGATTGGAATGAAATGAATGAATGAATGAATGAAAAGCAATCACCAAGTCCCAATCACTGCCGAAAAAGGCTGCTTTAGAGGAGAATCGTCTTTCAACAGCCTCCTTCGAAGGTCGCGAAGGCTTCCCCAATTGAATAATTTCATCAACTTCCTGGTGGTTTCCCTTGAAACGATGGGTTTCCACAATTTTGGAGGCCTACAAAGTGGACTCCCTTGCAACACTCGGCTCCCACTTTTGGAGGCTCCCTTTTTCTGGGGCGCTCTTTTTGGTTTCCCTTTCAACGGGCACCCCCCCCCCGGCCGGGGAAAAACTTCCCCTCCCGTCCGCTTCCGTCCGCTTCCGTCCGCTAAGTGCCGAGGCTTCAAGGTGAGCCTCTCGGCCTGTGGTAGGGCGGAGGACTGGCGGAGGTCGCTGCGCCTCTTGGCGCGGATGCCGGGGCTCCCGGGGCCGATTCGGAATCGGCGGCCAAATCGGGGGGGGGGGGGGGCAAGAGCAGCCAGCGGTGCCAGTTGGTGATTTGTTTGTTTGTTTGTTTGTTTGTTTGTTTGTTTGCTTGCTTGCTTGCTTGCTTGCTTGCTTGCTTTTGGGCAAATATGACACACATGATCCTTAAGCCAATCATGCTTAAACAGGATCTCCCGCCAAAAGCAGCCTGGGTCTGTCTCAGGGGCCGGTCCCAAAAACGGGGAGACCTTGGAGGATGGAAGAAATCACCTGGGTCTGCACTTGTTTTTGGTGAATACCCCCAAATCGAGGGCCGAATCGGGGGCCAAAAGCAGCCTGGGTCCGTCTCAGGGGCTTCCGAAATCGGGGCTTCTGCCGGGGATGGAAGGGGTGGTGCTTGGATGGAAGAAATCACCTGGCTCTGGACCTGCTTTTGTTGGTCCATGGCCCCACACTTTGGGTTGGTGTTTTAAAGGGAAACCAAGAGGAAGCCATTTTGGGGTCCCTGAAAAGGTTTCAGAGCCAGCAGGTTTCAGAGGGGCCGCAAGCTTGCGGCCAAGACGAGGGGTTTGAGGGATTGGATGGGTCAGTTGGAGGGGTTTGGCCGAGGTCTTCCCGCGACATGCTGCCAAGCGCCGGAAGCTCGGATCCCATTCTATGGGTTTGTTGGTTCCTGTGACCTGGAAATCTGGCCACTTTTTTGCGCATCCTCGCAGTTGCCGTACTCCAGAGAATTCCATGTGCAAAACAGACTGGAACTACGTCAGCAATGGGATAGAGTCTTGTATAAGGAAGTTTTCGGACGTGTTGCGCTGTTTCCCAACCTGCGACGTGGGAAAACATTTGGCACGCTTCTTGTTGCAGAAAGTCGAGGAAGGGCCATCCGAACAGTGTGCAGAACCCCACCGAGCCTTAGAAAGCTCTCCCCTCAAGCACAACTAGAGAACAGCAGAACTATCTTAGGACTCATGTTGGAAGACACGCTGGTTGATTGCTGACTGTCCACAAACCAACCGCTTAAACTTTCAGGCTGTGAATACGCCGCTTTTGCTGAGTGAATCATTGGCCCTTCGAACATGTCAGCCTTGGGCTGCTTGCTTCAAGTGTTTCTCCGCGAGGAGCTGGAAACAGACAAAATCCACCAGGTTCAAGCAAAAGTGAGCTGCTTTTCCACTTGAAACCCAAGAACCGACCGACTCGGAGCAATGACCCAACGCCAAGTTTCCTCCTGTTTTCCAGGGGCCGAAAAAGCACCTGGACGAACCGAAGAACCTCCCGAGCGGAGCCCGGAGCCCGCCACAGGCCTGGGTCTTCGAGACCAGCGCGGACCTCTGCGAGAAGCTTTGGGCCAAGAGGCCCTTGCCCAGGCTGCTGGAGGACCCAAAGAGAAGTTTTTAGATGCCTCCATTTGCTTAAGGATAGGTTGTTTTTCCTTGTTGGTGTTAAAAGGAAATCATCAATACTGGCAATATATTTTTTTCCTGGGGTCTTAACCAAATGGAAGTATGGATATCCCAGTGCCTCCAGGCAAGCCACCAGGGGAACCCGTGGTGTACAACCAAGAGGTAGCCATACCTGTACTAGAGTGGCGGTCACTTTTATTTTTGGCGGCAGCACAGGCGCACGTGGCAGGGCGCCGCCCCGCCTGCTTGTGGCAAGGGCTTGCCATCCAGAACCAGCCCAGTTGGCGAGTTTCGGGGCGAAGCCGGGCCCTGTTGATCTTGGGGCAGATGCCAAGGGCTTGGCCTCACCAGTTTGCCACGGAGCGTGGGCTCATGCGGCGAAACCTTGTTGCATCCGAAGCAGCAACCTGGGCTGGTTGGGGCGTGTCACCTGGCATGGTTTGCACCTGAAAGTCTACGATTTCCGCCAGACATCAGGAGAAACTGGGGCATGGAACCTGCATGCACTCCGCAAAACGATCAGATAGATGTATCTCTATTGAGAAAGAGGGAGAGGGATGGCACGTGATCCGAGGGTTGGGCGCCATTGGTACATTGGTAGCAGACAATCAGAGAGCCCCCTGTGGGGCCAGGACATGAGCACTGCGGCGTGCGACGGACTTGGAAGCGATCGATCCCGGCGAAGCCGAGGCACGGTGCGTGGATTGGGGGAAGGGGGTGGCCCATGAGGAAAACCACACAAAAAGATACGACTTTCAGCACATGGGAGAAGTTAGCCATGGTTATTTTGGGGCCGAAGGGAGCTTTGATCAACCATGTCTGTAAACAAAAAGGGATAAAACGCCCCTGTCAAAGTGCGACCATCATTTTTAACAACCCCCTTCTAAACCGCACAAAGTGTATGTAAGGCAAGTCGAAGATTAGGTTCAACCGCATGAGTTGGTTGGTTGATGATTTCTGCAGCGCTGTGCCACTGTGTTTGTTTGTCTGTGAAACGAATATCTCAATATTGCAAGTGAAGCAACCACGTCCAACCGCACCACTCGTAAAGTGCGCGACATTCAAATCAGAGTGTGCCCACTGCTTATTCACCTAGCAATGTGCGTGAGCCGCATGGGTGATGCCCGGTACAGTGAAGAATTCGACTCGTTTTTTCTGTTTGAGGCATCCGGTCGGGTGAATCAAAAGCACAACCAAGCGAGGAGTCGGCGTTTAACAAACGAACATGATGGGGCGCCAAGGCGACGTCCCCTTAAAAGGGGGGGGGATTTAAGCACCTTCCGAAACTTGGTTTCAGTTTGCAAGCATCTTGGACATGTCGAAATGAGTCTCCGGTTGACATGTTGAGGACTCGGTCTTCTGAAGCAGACCGGGTGGGAGTGCATGGGAGGCTATGTGGCGGCCAACATCTTGGCCCAACCGCGCGAAGAGAGAGCGCGGGAAAAGAAGGCGAACGAAGCAGCCGAGGGGTAATTACTCGGTACTCGTACTTTCATGAAAGCCATTGCTTGGACGATTCTAGCGACCTCAAAATATTATTCCAAGCTGGAAAGTCCTTTTGTCCGGGAGTTATTGGGGGTATCAAGGGGCTAGGGCTCAATTCACTTCCGGGAGCTACTAACATGCTGCGCTGGTATGCGGCCTGAATATTGTACCTGTACCCAAACTGCCTCTATCTAGGCTGGTACCTGTATGGTCGGCACCTGCTCGTTTGTTTCTGTTTGGTAAGTGGATGAAGGTCTAGTGGGAAGGGAACTCTCTGCGGAACATGTTGTTTTCGTTGAGGCACTTAGGAGGGTGCCATTTGGGACAGGAGTCAGGAGTTCCTCGCAACCCTCTCGCCAACAAGCATGACAAGAGTTCCAGCTCGCATATCAGGGTGAATGGTACCAAGATGGTCCTTTAAATTATAACTTTCCTCAACAGGGAGATCATTTCATTTGCCAGACAAATTGTGGTCCCTGCGGAATAGTGGACGGATTGGGTCTATCGGAGGACTTAGCCATGATTCCTGTTTGCCAAAGGCAGCTGCCCACCCTTGACTTCCTCTTAGGGTGCTCCCGCTCCAAAGACCCGCAGCAGACATTGCAACTTACCAAGGAATATGTAATGTATGCACGGGAAAAGTGGTTGCATATTTCAAAACCATAGCGACTCTATTACAAGGCTTCATTGAAAGGCGAATCGCTACCCTTTCAGCCATGGTCCTGGAGTCATGCGAGGTCGCTGCCACCATGGCGAAGCCTTTTGCAAAGGATGGAAGAGTGATGGGAATTTCCATCAACTTCTAGGAAACTAATAAGATGACTCGCTCGCCAGAAACACAGTTGAACTTGCCTGTTATTTGTTCGGTGCTTTGGATTTGCATCGCCCTACCAGAGTTGCAAGCGAACACCTGTACTTCCCCCCGAAGGTGTATTGTCACCTAATGCTATGACTTCTAGAAATTAACAAAGTCAGAAATTGGGGGAAATTATGGGAAAACATGGCACTTGCCACAGATTTGGGCACCCCACAATTTGTTCCCGTGGCTTTTTGGACCTGCGCCCAAGGTTCTTGGTGCGTCGACGTATGGCCAAGCTCCGGACGAAGGCGATTCGTTTTGGGCGCTAAGCACGTTGGGCTGACCAGGTTCTTGTGGGGGGGTCCCTTCTTGGGGTTCGTTCTAGAGGGAAATTTGGGTCTGGCTTTTTCTTCTTCTTCTTTCTTCTTCTTCGTTTTTTGGGGAGGGCGTCTCGTTTTGGCTTCGTGTCCAAAATTTGAAACAGGGAAGACCGAAGCCATTTTGGGGGGTCCCCTGTTCCTGAAAGCTGCCCCAAACTACCCCAGAGCTTGTTTGGGCAAAGACCCCTGTTGGGGAAATAGCAGATTGTAAAGAATTCCCTCAAGGAAACCACCGTGGGATGGATGTTGTCCGAGTTTTCCAGAGCCCCTATTTTGCATCCAGGAGTACTCACAGCATGCATTTGCTTGACCATCACATCGCCTCAAAAGTCACCAAGCACGGGTGCTTGGGGTACCATTTTGACAGCCCTTGGCAGGTGCTGGAAGGTGTTGTTTTTGTTTAATGCCGTCTTGGCTTAAACCTGTGGCTGCGTTCAATGTCGCCCTGCTGATTTGGAGCATAAACATATGCCAGTGTTCCCTACGTTGGCGTAGTCAAGATACGTTGGTGTGTGAAACGCGCACTTTTTGTTTGGTCTCTAAAGTCAATACAATGTCTTTTACTTGGTCATGTTGGTGTGCTAAGCATGGACTTGTTTTTGGCTTTTAAACAAAACACAATGGCTTTGTTATTAGTTCTGAACATGTACATGAATGAGTCCCCTCCCTTGTGTTTTGTGGAGACGACAACCCACATGGAAGGCAGGGATTCCAGGCAAGCCACTCTAGTAGGTGTGTGTGTGTGTGTTTGCCTCTAGATTTGAAGCATGGCTTGCCCTGAATAGCTATGGTTGCAGGAGGCACTGTTCAACGTTACATGAGGATGGATTGTAGTGGGGATGCCATGTGATTCCTGTTTGAACCCTCCCAAAAAGGGACTTTGGTCTTGAAAGCTACATGCACAAGTGCTTAAGTCAACAGGGGTTCCTCTAATTCCCTTTCGGAACCTCCAAACGTGGCAGTTTCTAAAACCCCACCAGTTCATTGCAAGGGGAATTCCAGTGACCGCTGGTCAAGCCCACCCTGGCACATGCTAGATGCCGTCATTCCGCAGGTGCCACGAAGTGACTGTTGGTTTGAGCTTGCTCTCGAGCTTGTGTTTGAGGTGTTTTGGCACTCAACTCAGTGAACGCCTCAAGGACATCCTGTGAACCTGGTGCTGCGACGGGAGAAAGCCCCACCTTCATTCTCCATGTTGGGAGAATTGCGTGGAGGCTTCCACTGGGCAAACTGGCAATCCTTTTCCGGGAATCTCGCACTGCAGGAAGTGGCTTTGTTTTTTTTTTGCAACGACATGGCGGCGTTGCCTTGGGGTTTTTTGGTTCCCGAAGGGTTTGTTGGCACCTCCTGAGGATGAGTGATTTCGGCCTTAGCCCCTTCAGTACATCCGAAGGCCAAGGCACCCTCGAGTTTCTTTCGCACCTCAGGTGCGCTTCATCCAGAAGATCTATCGGCGTTGGCTCAGGCCCGTGGGAAGCCACCGAGCGCCTTGAGCAAAGGGGTCACCAGGTGAAGATTGTAAGGTTGACCCAGGATTAATAAACCCCTCTCCCATTATTAGGGGGGGGTTCCCTCCAAAAGTGGTCTGAATCCCCACAATCAACCTGGGGTTTATTAATCCGGGGTTAACATTACTTTGATAGATGGCCTTGAGCCGGGCCCTAGGTGGCTGGAGTTCTCGACATCCGCGCGGATGCCGCACTCCGCATTTTTCCTATCGCTCAACTGCGATGCCCTCCTGCAATGTACGGAAGGGGGTGGCCTCAATCCAGGAACCCTTTCCCTTCTCCTTGCTTTGTGGGATAGACATGATGTAGTGGGGGTGCCAACCTCACATCTTTCAACCAGTTGGTGGGGATTGATTGCCTCCTTTTGAGACATGAAGCAAACGTTTGGCACGCGGTCAGCCTAAACGTACCTTTTGAACACGACTCCCCAACGCCCCCCGCCAGTTTGCCGAAAATGCGGCGCCTCATCCACGTGCGCACCGTGGTGATCCGGAAACAGAAGGCGCGCTTTGCCGGGAAATCCGATCGCAGAACCTGGCTCCAAGAAGGGTGGAGTGAGTTGCCATGCTGCATGTAAAGGGCGCACGTGGCTTCTAGCAATTTTTGGCCACATCCCGTCCCACTCATGCGGAGTTTGGGTCAATTATTGATTTCTTTCTTTCTTTCTTTCTTTCTTCCTTTCTTTCGTTCTTTCTTTCTTTCTTTCTTTCTTTATTTCTTTCTTTCTGTTTCTTTGCTTGCTTCTGCTTTCCTTCGTTTCTTGTTTTTGCTTGCTTGCTTTCTCACTTGCTTGTTTGCGCATGTGGGTTGGCAACTTGCATGGTGGCTTGCTTTGTTACGTGGAACACAATTTATTCTTTCGCTGGACTGGACGCTTGTTTGCACTTCCCAGATATAATTTACCGGAATCAGTGGTTTCAGAACGCTCTCCGCCCCACAAGCATACCAATGGCCAACAGATATCGGCTTGGTTCGTGGAAGCCGCGGAGAAATGTCAATGCTCAACGGCCAATGGGGTGCGTCGTTTTTTTGGAGACCTCCAAAATGGTTGTTTTCCTGTTGGTGTTCCTTTAAACCAACGAAAAGGCCATACCAACCCAGAAAAATGAGAGAGTCTTGGTGGCTTTCAGTGAGAAGCGCGCCGGTATGTGGGGTTCCCGAAACCCAACGAGGCTTTGGCGGCTGAGCTGTTCGCTGGTGGACGCCCCTTCTTGAGTGGGGAAAGGCACATTTGGATAAAGCCTTACCCACCATGGACATGGCTGGAGGCTGGAGAGGGGGAGAGGGGCCGGAAGTGCTTCTTTGCAGGCAACGCTGATCCAGAACTATTGGCGGCAGCACGCCGAGAGGAATCTCGTCAAGAAGATCCAGCAGGCCTGGCGGCTTGCAGAAAGATGAATGTGTGTGTGTGACAGTGTGTGTGTGTGTTTTTGGTTGGTTTTAGAAGGGACAATAGATGGAAATCCACCATCTTGGGGTGTTCCCCCATTTTAAGACACACTCAGATGCTGCTCGCCTCCATCAATAGCTTGTGCAAGCCGGCGCGCAACGCGGGAAGCAAACAATCGTTGAACGTCCATTAAAGTGGCACTCTGGAAATGCCCTCTCGTTGGTAGTGGACATGAATTCCAATTTCCACACACATATTTTAGACCCTCCCCAAAAAGATATGTTTACTTGGACAAACTTGGTGAGAGATCCCCAGTATGAGAACTATGTGACGCGCTAACAGTCCAACACTGATTCCTTTTGGAGGTTCAAATCCATCTTGATCCAAAGGTCCCAAATCGCTGGCCCTTGCATTTCCACTGTCCTTTAACTGGGACATACTTTCCTTTTTTTGGGGGGGGACGGGGGCCCTTGAAGTAAAAGGGAGGGGTGGGGTGTCCCAAGGTTTCCAGGGTAAGGACGGGGCCCGCCCCCCGCGCTCAGGGCTCCGAGCCCTCCGCAGCGCCCTGAGCGGTTCGCGAGCTCGGCGTTGCGGTGGGACAAAAAGTCGTGGTATCCCCAGCCATTCAAAAAAGGGGTGGGTTTCCGCTGAAACAACCCCCAAGATTGGTGGTTCCCTACAAAACTAAAAATCAGTCATGTATGTATCGCATTTGGGCAAGTAAGAATGTATATATATATATATATGTGGAGACCTGGCAAAAGGGGCTTGCAACCTCCCTCATGACGAAGGCTTCTTGTTGTTTCCACATTCATTTGTTTTGATTTACTTCACTCAGCAAGTAATATATGCATAGAATAGAAACCCGTGCCATGTTCCTTGGTGGCTCCAAAAGGACACCATAGGTATCCCACGATATCGCAGGCTTAAATCAGTAGTGGGTGATTCATAGCTCAGACCAACCTGAAGATCTTCAGCTAAGGCGCCCTTTGACACATGATTTCAGACAGTTCCCATCGCATTTCCGCAAGGAAGGTTTCACTTACCGTGCGAATTGCACGAAACATTCCACCCCCTGCGCGAAAGAGTCGCGTGGGGCCCGGGTCTCTCAGTTGGTCTCTGGGAACCAGGACCACGGGGAGGGACTTGCCAGCGAGCGCGGGAAGGATGGGGCCCCGATGGATGGTTTTTGCGCGAGGCCCTTCACAACTCCGCTGTCTGACTGAAGCAAAACATGCAAACGGTTTACAAGTTGGCTGGGTGCACAACAAGCAGATATGGTTTCTGTACCATGGTTGAAACCACCCGGTTACTTTGGCAAATGTTTTCACAACCACAAGGTTTGCTAGGAAGAATGACCATGACCCACGCGAATAGCCCTGGGCCATGGCACATGATTCATATTGATGTTTTAGCATGTCACCATTCGAGCCCCTTACAACTCCAGGCTGTTTGTTGCCCAGTGGGTTGCTTCCCTTTTTGAACTTCTTGGGTAAGGCTTCCCCTTCAAACTCAACCAACCAAAGACGGGTGCCTTTAACTCGGGGGGGGTCTTGAGCAATGTGGCGGAACCAACCCAAAAAAGGGTGCCCTTTTTGTCCATGGAAATCCACTGGGCATCTGAGAGCTTGTTCAGAGCATACAGATACAGAAAGGCAACAAACCAACTTTTGGAGATTCCTGCGTGGCCAGTTTGGAGATCAGACCCTGATTGCTGTATGATCCTCTTCATTGCAGTTCCAGTCAGTGATCTAGCCACAGAGGCAACTCAAGTTTGTGCAAATGGCTTGTGGATCCAACCTGCGCATGGGAGGACTGGCACCGCAGCAAGTCAGTCCAAGACAAGTCAGCCCTGCGTGAAGCAATGCCCCGTGTTGGAGAAAATAAAAGCTTGGAGCGCGGGCGTGTGGCGGCGGTGGGAGGGGGCGGGAGTCTGGGTGTGCCGAAAACTCAGGTGTCCTTGTGGGATCCATCAGGCATCTTAGGGCCATAGGACCATAGGAAACCTGCTTGGAAGCCCCAATAAATCCCACGACTCGGGACCAAGAAAGGTCTGTTTGGTTGTCGACGCTTTGCAGATTTCTTCAGCGTGGTCGAGCACAAGATCCGGTATCCCAGCGGGTTTGTTGGGACCTTCTGAGGATGTAAGGGGCCAAAAAGGGATCAAAGTACATTGTCACAAGGCACTTGGATGTGCCTAAACTCGGAATACGTGTGGCGGGGAGAATTGGGCGTTTGGCTCAAGCCGGGCCCGGACTTGGAGCATGGCTTTGTCTGCCGTCGACTGGCATCCTGGACTGTCAGTTCAGCGCCGTGATTTCTTGCCATCAGTTCCAACGCTTCCACAACCATCCTGCGAACCACCCCTTGTTTCATAGACTTCGAACAGCTTTGCTAAGCTGGGGCTGGATTGGCTAGGCAAATCAAGGTCAATCTGGGTCCTGCTCAAGTTGTTGCAGGTAGCTTGCTTAGAGAAATGCGTATTGGAGGAATTGACTGCCCTGCGATTTCTGCGGATTTCGTTCGAGTTCCCAGGGAGTTACGAGAATTTGGAGGTTTGAGGAGCTGAACCTGGTTGGCCAGTCAGATAGCAAGCTGCCGGCTCAGATGAAGTTCGGTGCATGCGGTTGCCGCCCCAAGCTTTTTTTTGCTGGAAATCGGGTCTGTGCACAAACCCATGTTCGCGCCTTCAAATGGGCAAACCCAAAAACAACCTCCTTTTGCCCCTTTAGTCCAGTCTGAAAGATGGTAGCCTAGCGTTTGGTGTCGCTGTAATTGCCATTGGCCCCACGCCGAGGCACCTGAAGGGGCTGCTGGCGATGTCGCAGAAGACGCCTGTCCAGGATGCCGCAGAGGGTTTGCGGTGGCTGTTGCCCAGGAGCCTTGGCTCATGGAGCTTTCGAGTGGAACGCCCTGGCCTGGGTGAAGTTGTGGATTTGCTATCTGGTTTTGTGAAGGAAGAAAGATACAGCACCAGATCTGGGCGTGGCTCAAAAGTAAGAGCTAGGGCAAACCGCAGGTTTTAGTCTTTGGTTCCATTTACCAAGGTGCCATGTTGGTACATCTTTTTGAGCCACAGATATCTGGATCCGAGGAAGAAAGATAGAGCAGCACCAACCTGCAGAGCACCGGTTCAGTACGGCGAGTCCTGCTCAGTGTGCTTGGATGCAGAGAGGGGCGAGATTCGAAGACTTCCCTGTGGGCATGGCTTCCATGAAGCTTGCATTCAGGACCCGGGATGCTCTTTAAAGGCCTCATTTTTACAAGAGTAATTTGAGCCACTTGCTCAAAACCTGGGTAGATGAGGGTTAGTAAGGGACAATCCCAACAATAAATAGCTGCGGATATCCGCCTTTTTACTTCTTCACATATATAGTTCTGGGTAGACCATTTCAAAAATCAATACCGGGTTTTCATTATGACTCATTTGCCCCAGCTGTCAAAGTCATTGGCCCCAAGCCAGTTGCTTTCCTTTTGCTATGCCAAACTCTTCAAGAGGGCACAACTTGATCGCCCTTCCAGGACTGGCTGATACGTGCCAGCTCTTGTCCACTGTGCCGGCAGCCAGTGCACTGAGACAGACTGGAAAGCGGCGAAGGTACAAACGGTGAGTGAAGCTCAACGTCCCGTTGCAACCACAAGGAGCGGCTGTCTGAACTTGTTGTTCTGTACTGTGTACCGTTGGTCGCAAATTGACCTCTTTCTTTTGTTGATGTTCATCCCAGCTGCACAAGCTGCGGGCTGCAAAAGGTGCTCCAGCTAGACGCGGAACCTAATTGACCGGAGGTCGAACTTGCATTTTGCGGCCGCATTTTTGCATGCCCAGTTGTTCAGTGGCACCCGTTACTCCTTTTTCATCCACTTAAACTGGTCATCTCCAAACAGTTTCCTTTGTTTTTCCTGGGGCCATGGCGCAACTGGGTATGGCGAGCCAGCCAAGCTTTACGTAAGAGAATCAGCCGTCCCGACCTGCGGAGTCGGCATCCCTTATTAGGTTTCTTCATCCCTAGACCGAGAAAATGGAATGTGATCCTTTCGCTCTGGCCAGCTTCACTCTGTGGAGGTCCGTATTCAACTCAGCATCACTTGAGTAGAGCCCTGCGCGGGACCAGCCTCTTTGTTTCAGCGGATCGTCTCAGCAGGTCAGGAGGAATTGAGCTGACAACCTTGAAAGGGTCGAACCTCGGCCTTTCCGTCGAATGCTATAACAGCAACGCAGGTCCTGTTGAGCCCACCCGAAGGAAAGCTGCTGCTTTGCTGGATGACTTGAACTGCATTGTTTGCCATTAGCCTCATGCTAGATCGCCAAATGGCGTGCTGAAGGGGTTCGAAACCACCACAGCCAAGGTTCACCAGATGTGGAATCAACTTCGAAGTGACAGGGATGATCTAGTGAGACTACTCAGCTACCGCATGACGCTGGATGAAAGGGTTGCCAGAAGTTGTTTGGGTTCTGTGCTTTATTTTGGAGGAGAGGAACGTTCAAGAGGGGTGTTCTCAGTCCTGAAAATAAAGAGGACACACCAGAGACGCCACGTGAGACCGCAGCTAGTGGCTTCTTTTGGGGCAGCTGCAGCATTTGCTGCATGGCTCGCTGAGAGAGACGTGTGTCACTGCGTGTGACACTGCACTTGGATGTGTCTCTATAAGTGCCACCCCCAAGATTTGTAGACTCAAAGGGCAGGCCAAAGAGACGCCAACAAGTTTTGGGGCTCCCCTTTTTTAAGACACACCCATTTGCCCTTGGAATTTCAGGTCTTGGGCGAGGAAAGTGTACCTGTGCCTCTGCAAACAGCAGTCTTGCTGTGACCCTGAGGCTGGTCATTACACAGGTACCAAAGGCTGAATGTCAGAACCCGTGGTATAGAAAAGAATGGTTTGCGTTCTAGCCCCTGGCTATGGCTGACCCAAAAAACAATTTGGGGGCACGAATGGTGCAAACACCTTGTTCGATGAGCACTTTGCATCTACTCCGATACAAGAATAGTCCAGCGAACAGTCGAACAGGTACGAGTTTGCTTATATATTGCAATTAGTGAGCAATGACCACGGTTTTGCGTCTGAGTATTCTACATCAGACTTGAGCCAAAGATGGCCAATAGATTTCTCATGAGTGGAGTGCTGAAGCAACAGAGAACCAGGAACACCCCCACCCACCCACATCACAAGCGAGGCGTTTTTTAGCTAGGTCACGGGGATGTTATTACCCAACCCACGCACCCCCACCACCCCCACAAGTGCGACATATGGCTACAGCCTTCTGCAGGTGACGAGAGTGCCATACCTCCTCACACCCCACAAGCTTGACGTATGGATACAGCCTGACGCAGGTGACGAGGACGCTAGTACCTTGACGCTATTGCCCACCCCCCGCCGTCAAACTCTACTCTTCCCGTTGCGTAGCGACGGCGAACGCTTGCTCCTGAAGATGTCAATGCATGAAAGCTGAGCGCATATACATATGTGTGCATTTGTCTATGCTCGCGCGTATGCGAGCAGGCAGGGGCAGTTTCGCTCCCCAGGCGCAAGACAATTTATGTGGTGAAGCATTTTGAACTAAGTTCTCAACAGATGGCTTTCCGCCCAAGCCTGCCGGAATTCACTGGAATGGCGACGCGCTACCCACCCTGCCCCGGAGCCAAGCTCTGGGGTGTGTCCATGAGCCTCGCGCCGGTAGGGAGCACTCCGGCAAAAGCTGAGGAGGTGCAAGTTGGCTCAGGGAGACCCGAAAGGTCGCTCTATGTCGTCAAAAGTGGGCCAGAGGAACCGCCCTGATTCTTTGGCAATGGGGTTGCAAGGCTCCATTTTGACCAGCCAGGTGAGAGATGCCGGATCTTAGGCCATAGGGCTGCGGACCCTAGGCCATGACCTTTCTGAAGGCTGGAAGAGTGTAGGACAAGCCCCTATGACCAGTGTAGACTTCCACGCACGGATGTGATTTTCCACTATGGGATTTGCCGGATTTCAGTCTTTGGGGCCAACATGGAACTGATTCCACCAGATTTCCCCCAAAGGGACTGGAACTCCTGAGTTGAAGTCCCCTTTAAGAGGAAAGTCGATCAGTTTGAACCGCAGGCGCTTAGGCTCAAGCGGCATCAAAGGCTCAAGCCAGAAACAGTTCGCGTGCAGGCGCCAAACCGGGAGGGGCCAAACCGGGCTTGGCAAATTGTTTGAGCCCGGCACGTGTCAAAAAACCGGTTTGCTTGGGGGCGCGGATGGTCACGTGCGTATCAGAAATCCATTTCAAGGCTATCTCGAAGTGGAACAATGAGGTGGCTAGACCATGGCACGTATCGGGCATCCCTCAAAGCCTCAAAGTACATGAATCTTCTTGAGAAGGTTCGTTGTTTCGGGTTGATTGACCCCGACAGCCTCGAAATGCAGGGTCACATGGGTTAGGAAGTTGCTCAGCTTTGTCGTGGCCCATGGTGTACCTTCGAGTATGTTGAGTCTTTGGCTCACACACGCACACGAGTCAGGATCGTCCTGTGCATTCCTTGTGGGAAACGGATCTAGCACCCGCCAACAGTGCTGGGGTGGCATCGGACGGCTGCCCAAGGGCAGTTGCTGTCGAGCGCAACTCAACCAACACTTTTGACATCAATGTGCTGCATAGAAGTGGCTCAAGATTTCCCACATTCAGATTCAGTGCTACAATCTCCTAACAGCAGAAAGATGAGAGGTGACACCAAGTTTTCTGCTACGGGTATGGCGCTCTACACTGCGGGAAATATGATTGGTACTGGTACCCACCAGACCTTAATTGCTCTCGCTAAGGACGGCTGTGGCAACCTTCTTTGGGTCAACTTTTTGCTGTCAGGCATGCTCGTGACCCTGTCTGCGTTGCCTCTCGTCCATCTTTACGCAAAGTAGCCCTCGAATGGCTGCCTTCATCGCTCGGCAGAAGCAGGGCTAGGCATCACTATCGAGCTTTTGTTTGCGGTGACTATGCAGGTGTCGTTTGTTTGGAAGTTGTGCTGCGCCACTTCTTCCAGAATCCCTAGGTATTCCGGCACAGTCTGTGGCACTTGCTTTGCTCATTGTGCTGTGGCTGGCGTTTCGTACCCGGGAAGCACTCTTCACTGCAAATATTGCATTTTCGCTATTTGTCCTCGAACTTGGGACAGTCGGTTTACTTGTCTTGAACAGTTTGTTGGGATGGAGCGTTGGGTCGCCTCTTCGCCCTTTGACGAACTTGCTGGCCCGCACAGAGCCCAACTGGGAGAAATTCCCTTTAGGGATTCATGTTGCGGTCTTTGCCTACGGAGGTTTTCCAGGAATGATCCAAGCGGGTGATCTCTTGAGCAACCCCAGCCGCGACTTGCCTTTGGGCTCACCATGTTCATCTATTCTTCGATGTCAGCATCCGTGCTACTAGTAGCAGCACCCGAGGGGATTGCAAAGTTCAAGACCGGCTTCGATTGCCTTCACGGAATCCTGCCAGAAAGCCTCCTGAATGGCATTTCATTGACCGTCTTGTCATCAGTTGCGAACAATGTCATGGAGAACTCGCTTGTCATCATTAGCAATTTGGATCAGGTTCTGTTTCATCGCGGTTCTGTGATGCAACATGGGCCATCCCCATGACTTGATCACTCAGGAGATTCCCTTGGCCACTCACACAAAAGGACCCGAATGCTTTGCACGAGCATGTGAGCAACGGACAATACTACCATGGTCTCTGATTGTGATGGTTTCCAAAGACCAGTCGCTGACATTCATGGACCTGGGACTTTGCTGCTCCGATTCAGTGACTCTTGCTTTGATCATTGTCCTGACGATTTTCAAGGAAGACATTGGACTGCGCTTTCTGGGTGATGCCATTGACTTTGCACTGCTCTTGCAGTTTGCAATTTTTGCCTTACTGTCGATCGCAAATCAGCAGTCACCTTTCACATCGCCAACATGCAGCTTGAAGTTGGCTCCTCCGCTCATTTCCTTGGCTGCCAACCTGTTGCTTGGTGCTTGGCACTTCTCGCATGCCTCCCCCATGCCTATGATCATCCTGCTGCTCCTGGTTTTGCTGCCCTGGCTTGCCTCGCAACTGGTGAAGTCGAAGAACAAGACCGAGTGAGCAGCCTCAGCCGACAGAACGGACTCCATGGACTTCTTCAGATTACCAGTACTGGTTTGTCATCAGCCGCGCAAGGCTTTGAATTGCCGCCTGCCGCAACGCCGCCTTGCGCCAGACCAGGCGGAGGAAAAACGAAGCCAGTCACCCCACACAGTGAGCCACAATCAAAACCCGGTGAAATCCCAACCATAACTGGGTGCCTTCACCGCCTTTCTCCCTCACAAACGTCTGGGTAGAGCATTTGGGTATGGGTCAAAATTGAATCACCAGAAAAAAAGAAAGAAAACAAATCAAAAACAAAAAAAAGCAGGTTTTGGTCCTTAAGGTTCAATTTGCCAGGGCAAGCCATTTTGGGGTTATAACATTTTTGCCCCACAGCCATCCGAATACCGACCGGTTGTGATGTCTCAAGTTGCCAGCACTTGGCTCTTCAGTGCCAGGCATCATGGCAGTCGCTGTGCGAGGCACGGGCTTTGCTAACCGCGTTCCGAGGTTTGCGCAACGGTTTCGCGGCACGGAACTACCCGCGTGGCGTGTCCTTTTCAAGAGGAGACCCCTGCTTGAGGTGATCTTAAAGCGAAAGTACAAGGACATTGCGCTGTAACGTTGCACCTACTTTAATATGACCCCGTCCCCTGAACAGTTCGGACCCTCTTTTGCAGACGGTAGATGACGGTAGGAAAATCAATGCCCATCAACAACCGTAGCCTGCAGAAAGGCTTGAGAGCCTTTAGCCCTTCCAACAACTCTTTCTGGGTGAAAAGTGTTGTTGCTCACCCTGTGCTTTTTTTGACTTACTTGCAATATTTAGGGCATCCACCGGATGTCGAGCTTGATATATTTCGGGCACTCACAGCCACTGAGAAGTCCCTCCGGTGCGTGCTGATGCCAAGTTGTCACGTCAAGTGTCCGCGAGATGTCACGGCAAACGGGGCAGATTCTTAGCTGTTCTGTTTGATGTTTGGGGAAGTGTGGCACAAAAAGGGCCGCCTCTTCAAAGCGAAAACAGAGGCTTCCAGATCTGCTATTCAGGCAGGAAACGCAACCAATGCGTGCCGGGGCAAAAGCATTACATAGATTCCCCTGGCTCTGACATGTTCTTTTTGGCTGGGGTCAAAAAGTGAGGTGGAAGCTGATCGGTCCAGAGCAGTTCGAGTTTCGGTAGTTGAGCAGCGCTGTTGGCGGCAGCGCCCCACGCTCTGGCACTGGCGAAGCCACTTTGTGAAGGCTAGCTACAAGTAACTGGCCAGCTAAAAACACGCATCCGCGAAGCCATCCGCGAAGCCGTCAGGTTGAAGGTTGGGGAGGGCAAGTTTGGCTTCGGCTTTTGTTCCAAATGCCGTCCGTCAGGACGTCAGCTGCGCTTGACCAGCCGCATCCTAAGCCTGGGGATGATTGCGGTACATGGCGAAGCTTCCAACTTATCTCTACGTGCTTCATGATTTGGCATCCACCATACCGATGTGCGGCATTTGTATTCCAGTCACATGATGAGCTGAATGGAAGGCTCTTTGGTGGGTAGCGTAACACAAGTTTTTGTCATTTTTTCTGCAAAAACAAGTATGCAACACCACATACTTTTTCTAGCTGTCTTTCTTCGCTCCTTGTCCAAAGCCGAGCTTTTACTCTGTTCAGTCAAGTGTCCAGTCAAGGTTTCAACAAGTGAAACCTTGTTTCCAGCTCCCTTGATCATGTGATCTCCTTCTTTCCAATTGTTTTGTTTGCTCACAGGAACGATAGACTGATCAGCAGAGAATGGCTTTGGCTTTGGGTCAAACTCAAAAGGCAGGCTGCGCTGACCCACACCACAAATCTTGTTTGGAAGCCCAGGGGGGTAGGTGCAAGGGTAGAGCCCGGGGCTTAGGGCTTCCTTCGGGAGCCTAGCTCGGGAAGCCCCGAGCGAGCTCCCTCGAGTTGTTTTTGGCGTTGAGATTTCTCCGCCGGCATTTCGGTAACTCAAATTATCTTAAATTCAAGCGTTGTTGCATCCTGTTGCAAGGTTCCAATAAATCAAAGTTGAGATGGATGTGCACGTTGGGTCCCATGCGGGTTGGCATGCTGCCGTACTCCAGCAAAGGCTTGGATATGTTTGCATTACGAAAGGTCGGCCATTTGGCAACGGCTGGCTCCAGAATGTGGCGCGTTGTTCAGCCGTCGTGTTGGCATTGTTTCTTGATGTTATTTAGGATGCCTATAGGCATATGCAGCCCCCCAAGCATGCATCAGAGTACACTGCGCACTGCACACATGTGCCAGCGGACCTGGCTGCAAGGGCGAACGGGCACCCCGTCTTGCGTCTTGCTTGGACATCACCTGCCACCTACGTTTTGACGACTTCTCTCGGGCACCGCCTGAAGTCAAACCAGATAAAGGGGCAGGGGCATGCCTCTTGACGGAAACACCTATATGAAGCGAATTTAGGGGGTTTAGTCGTATGACTATAGACTATATATATATAATTACAATATTGTTGAAGAGCAGGCTTTCCTTAAAAAAGTGCTTCTGGTAAATTGCATAGTCACATGCCTCAATGGGTATTTACTTGAGGCATCCACATTGTTCCAACCTCCCAGCTGAAGGGAATCCCAAAATGATGCCCTCAAACATGGAATCAAGTTCAGGGAGCCAGCAGATTGAAGCACCTGGTGGCGCTTTAAACAAAAAATAAAAAATGAGGACCCCAGTTGCCGGCTGCGCCAACTGAATTTTTCCATTCTCCCAGGCGCTCTGGTGTTGCTGGGACTCATGGCTGCGCCCTGGCGTGCTTGGAGGGGGGGGGTGCCTTGTGCCTGGGACTTTGCCAATATTCTTTGGCGAGCTCACCTGGGTAAAGCGAGCTCGGAATGAACGTTCCTTGGCTCCCTGCTTGCAGCTTTGGGCAGTGTAAGATACTACCCCTCCTCCCAACATGGGGTTTCATGCAGGTACCCTCCCATAGATGCTATGTTAGTGGAAGCGTAGATCAAAGGCACCAGTTTGGCAGGTTGGGGATGCTCGTGTGACGCTTTTGCGGGCAATGCACCTCTAGAGTCGTTGCTTCGGGAAGCGGCCAAAGCGAAGGTTCTTGGAGACAAAACTGTTCAGGTGCCCAACAATTCATTGCAGAAACTAGGAAACAAGCAATCGAGCAAGACAGCGACCAAGAAAGCAACCACACGAATCAGATCTAACTTCTAAACGACCAAGCAACAAGAAACACAAACGCTCTGGGGTTTGGGGATCACCCCTCGGGACCTAGATGGCCGGTGTGGGTGTCCCTTCTCGAAAAGGGTTCCGTGCGTGTTGTTGACCGTGTTTTGGAACGACGCTCCCTTGTCTCGGCTCACTGAAGTAGGGTTGTCACATGAAAGGAGACTCACCCTTGGTATCACAGAATATGGCACTCCCAACGCCTCATTCCCACAACTATGTGGCTCAACGTGCTTTTCTCACATGAGGAACCCCTGGTTTCTGGTTGGTTCCCTTTTATTGTGTCGAAAGCAAATCAAGTATATGGATGGCCTGTGTCGCTTGCTTGAGTCCTTGCGACACGTCTGAGGCGTCCACCTGCTTCATCGGCGCGTCGGCACCAAGGATGGGACCTTAATTTCCCTCCATGTCCCTTCATTGCTCTCCATTTCCCTTCATGTCCCTGCATTGCTCTCCATTTCCCTTCATGTCCTGTACTCCTCTTCGTTTCCAATTCATGTGCGCTTCATGCCCTCTTCATTTTCCATGAATTTCCCATGCATGTCCCATGCATTTCCCCTCCAACCTGTGATTTGTAGCTTAAGAGCAGTAGAATCCAGTTTGCTCACAGCTGCCCACGCCATGCTTCTTTGCTGGGAATGTATATTATATGTGGTGGTTTGAGTCATGGTCTGTGTGAGCCATGAGATCCTTGCAGGAGCCGGGGTGGCATTGCGACATACGCCGCTGCTGCCAAGGAGATGCCTTGTTTTCGTGCAACCGGGAAGGCACCTGGTGCTTTGGTGATCCAGTTGAGCATGGGAAACCCTTTTAACTACCGCCATTATCCAGGGGCTTAGTTCATCGGCAATTTTTATGTCAAGAATTTGTTTGGGCAAATGGAGTTACGTTGGAGCCCTGTGCATTCGAACTGAGATCGGGGGGATGCTGTCGCAATTGGGGCTTCCGGACATGGGCTGGAAGTTGCCGAAAGGTTGTGGGCTGAAAACGGGTGTGTGTGTGTGTGTGTGTGCGCTTTTTTTTCAGGGTACCCATTTTGGGAACCAAAAGCAGTCCAACCATGTTTGGGTTCGACCATTTTTGCATTTTTGAACCATCACACCCCAACACAGTTTGCCATCTTCTGTCTGTTCCACTTGGCCGGAGACCTGCAACCGGCCACCGCTCGCCGGATGCTTCTTTCGGCAACATTGGGATGGGTCCCGGCAGCGGGGAAGCGCAAGAGGTCAGCATTGGAGCAGTCTCAGAGGGGGGAAGGGGACTGGATGCCAGGTGGGCACCTTCGAATTCATGCCGAATTCGGCATGGGCTATGGGTCCTTCTGGGAACATTATGAATATATATATATATGAATATATATTGTCACCCCCCCATGATCTACCTTCACTTCACCTTCTTATATATGTTCCATTCCCCAGGCCACCAACCCCCCCGCCCCCCCCTTCCCCCCCAAGGGTAGGGTCTCCCCCCCGCCCAACCCCGAGCCCCGAGCCCACACCCTGCTGCTACAGTCCCCAGACCTCCTCGAGCCCCTGAACTCGTTTGCATCCCGACACGTAGGACAACTCAACCCACAACCAACCCCAAACCCCAACCCTAAACCAATCCTACACCCCTAACACTTAGCCCTAACCCTACCCTAAATCAACCTTAAACCAAGCGTAAGCCAACCCTAAACCCACCCTACACCCACTGTCAACCAACCATGAACCAACCCAAAGCTAACCCTTAACCAACCCTAAACTAAACCTATACCCACCCTAAACAAACCCCAAACCAAACCTAAATCAGCCCTAAGCCAACCCAAAACCCCCTAAACCCACCCTAAACCAACCCCCCTAAACCAACCCCAAGCCAACCCTAAACCAACCCCAAACAAACCCAACCACCAACCACCAACCACCCAACCCCCCCCCACCCCCCACCCCCACCCACAGGGGAGGAGGGGGCGGGAGGGGGGGGGGGGGGGTCCAGGGCCTGGAACACACACACACATATATATGTATATATATACATGGAAGATTTGATCTTACTAGTTAAGCATTCTTAACGCATTTGTTCACAGCATTACTCGCACTTTGCCGGAAGGAGGCCGCTCCTTCCCCACCTCCGGCTGCATCCTCGGGATCCTCGGTGGCGCTGGTGAAGGCGGGAAGCTCGGCCTGGCGCTTTGCGCGCCAGGGGTTGGGTTGACTTTAACTAGGTCCCCCAGTTGGGAGGTTTCCCTACTAACATAAACTAGAGAAAAAAAGGTACCTTTGTTCTAGCCTCTCTACTGGAGGACCTAGTTAAGGTGTTTGTCGGAATGTCATGGCGCGGCAAAGAGCTGCGCGCCAAAATTGAGTCGGAGAATGTGCGAGGTGTCACCCCCTTTGCATTTTGTTCTAAATCCTTTAAGCAAGTGAGTCTGCTTTTCGGCCAAGATGGCCCAATATTGGTCAGTGAACCTCGCGCGCGTGCATGCGTGTTGCATTTTGTTTTGGAGTAAATCCATGTTTGTGGTTGTTCCAGATCCACTCGTAAACCTTTGGATCCCTTTGTTCAAGGTTCCGTGCGGGGGGTGGGGGCGGTTCAGCCGGAGGTGGCTGTGGGTCAAAAATCGGGCTTGCCGTGGTAACCTGAAGAAAAACAAACAAGGGCGAAGTGTGGGTCAATGTGCGAAGTGTCACACCCTTTGCATGTTGGAGTAAATCCAGGCTTTTGGTCGTTCCCCTTTGGATCCCTTTTTCGGTCCTGTTGGGGGAGGGGGTTCAGCCGGAGGTGACCAAGGAGAACAAGATCGCCACCGCCGGCGTGTTGGGCGGCGTGGCGGGCCTGCTCTTGGGCGGTTTTTGGGCCCAGCTCCCGAGATCCCGAGATGCGGGCGGGTGGGTTTGGGTTGCTCAGGGCATGAGAAATGGAAGCGACCCCGAAATAGGAAAAACCATCCAAGTGGTGGGTGTGTGTTTGTGTGTGTTTTTCTTCTAAGGGGACCGGTTTCCTTTGAGGGGACCCCCAAAGATCCCCCCCAAAAAAATAAAGCCATGAGACCGCAAACGATTTTTGTTCATTCCCAACATCCCGAACGGTCATCCCCTACTGGTTGGGCCCATCAACTGGAGGCATGTAGATCGGGGCTGGGAAAAAAATCGGATCGGCCCCCCCTTGTTTGTTTTTTTAGGTGAAAAAGTGATTTGGGTGTGGGTCAACATTAAACCAGGAATTGGACCGCTGGCTTTTTAGTCTTTGTTTCCATTTCCCGATCGGGCTTGCGCCATTTTGGGGTTGCCAACTATTTTTGATCACCACAGCCATTTGTTTCTTGTTGGTTGCCGGGCCAAACCTTCGACACTTGGTTTCTGATCCAGAGCCCAGGGAGTTCAGGCTGGGGGATCGAAAGGTTTTCGGTGTGGAAAGATCCGGGGAAAAGCTACCAGAAAGGCCTTGCATTGTTTTCGGCTTTGAAACATCAAAGTTGTGCGACAAAGCACTGTTTTCCTTGGGTGGCGATAGTTGAGCTTTTTTCCTCCACTGAGGGTCTAGAAATAAACTCAGTTCCGAATGCTCGATATGCGTAGTATTAATTGACAATGAGGTTGTAGAATGTGGATGTAGTTGCGACTATTCCTACATGAAGATCACTTCGACTTATACCCACTCAGCTACATAGGTGCTGACCCTTTTGAACTTAGTGGCCATGCATTCCCAAGTGTATATCCATTTTGCTAGACTCCCACTGACTAGTCAATCGCAAGAAAGCACCACGCTTGAACCAAAACAAGCAACCAATACACAGACAGACTAACAGACTGACACACTGAGACAGACTGACAGACAGACAGACAGACAGACAGACAGACAGACAGACATAAACACATATAGACGGACATGCAGACAGACTGACAGACAAACAGACACACACAGACAGACATGCAGACAAACTGACAGACTGACAGACAGACAGCAAGACAGACAGACAGACTCAGACACACAGACAGACGTGCAGACAGATTGACAGGCTGACAGACAGACAGACATATTTGACAGACTGACAAACACACAGACGGGCATGCAGACAAACTGACAGACTGAAAGAGACACAGACAGACTGGCAGACTGACAGACTGACAAACAGACAGACACACAGAAAGACATGCAGACAGACTGACAGACTGACAGAGTGACAGACACACAGACAGACGTGCAGACACATTGGCAGGCTGACAGACAGACAGACAGACAGACATACAGACAGACTGACAGAAGGACAGACTGTCAGACTGACAGACACACAGACAGACGTGCAGACTGACAGACATACAAACAGACAGACACACAGACAGACATGCAGACAGACTGAGAAACTGACGGAGACTGACAGACTGACAGACAGACTGAGAGACAGACACGCAGACAGACATACTGACAGACACACAGACACACAGACACACAGACAGACATGCAGACAGACTGACAGACTGACAGACCGACAGAGTGACAGACACACAGACAGACGTGCAGACAGATTGACATGCAGACAGACTGAGAGACAGACACACAGACAGGCATGCAGACAGACTGAAAAACTGACAGAGTGACAGACGTGCAGACTGACAGACATACAGACAGACACACAGACCAACATGCAGACAGACTGAGAGACAGACGCACAGACAGACGTGCAGACAGATTGACATGCAGACAGACTGAGAGACACACAGACAGACATGCAGACAGACATGCAGACAGACTGAGAAACTGACAGACTGACAGACGTGCAGACTGACGGACATACAAACAGACAGACACACAGACAGACATGCACACACACTGAGAGACACACAGACAGACATGCAGACACACTCAGAGACTGACAGACTGACAGACTGACAAACACGCAGATATACAGACATACAGACAGGCTGACAGGCTGACAGACTGACAGAGTGACAGACACACAGACAGACGTGCAGACAGATTGACATGCAGACAGACTGAGAGACAGACACTCAGACAGACATGCAGACAGACATGCAGACAGACTGAGAAACTGACAGACTGACAGACGTGCAGACTGACAGACATCAAACACGCAGACAGACTGAGAGACTGACAGACTGACAGACTGACAAACACGCAGACATACAGACAGACTGACAGACTGACAGACAGACAGACAGACGTGCAGACAGATTGACATGCAGAGAGACTGAGAGACACACACACAGACAGACATGCAGACAGACTGAGAAACTGACAGACTGACAGACGTACAAACAGACAGACACATAGACAGACATGCAGACAGACTGAGAGACAGACACACAGACAGACATGCAGACAGACTGAGAGACTCACAAACTGACTGACAGACAGACATACAGACAGACTGACAGAGTGACAGACACACAGACAGACGTGCAGAAACATTGACATGCAGACAGACTGACAGACAGACTCACAGACATTGAGAAACTGACAGACGTGCAGACTGACAGACATACAAACAGACAGACACACAGACAGACATGCAGATAGACTGAGAGACAGACACACAGACAGACATGCAGACAGACTGACAGACTGACAGACTGACAGACTGACAAACACACAGACATACAGACAGACTGACAGACTGACAGAGTGACAGACACACAGACAGACGTGCAGACAGCTTGACATGCAGACAGACAGAGAGACAGACACACAGACAGACATGCAGACAAACTGACAGACTGACAGACTGACAGACTGACGGACTGACAGACTGACAGACTGACAGACTGACAAACACACACACAGACAGACTGACACACTGACAGACTGACAGACTGACAGAGTGACAGACACACAGACAGACGTGCAGACAGATTGACATGCAGACAGACTGACAGACAGACACACAGACAACAGACAGACATGCAGACAGATTGAGAGACAGACACACAGACAGACATGCAGACAGACTGAGAGACTGACAGACTGACAGACAGACATACAGACAGACTGACAGACTGACAGAGTGACAGAGTGCCAGACACACAGACAGACGTGCAGACAGATTGACACGCAGACAGACTGAGAGAGACACAGACAGACATGCAGACAGACTGAAAAACTGACACACTGACAGACGTGCAGACTGACAGACAGACAAGCAGACAGACACACAGACACACAGACACACAGACAGACATGCAGACAGACTGAGAGACAGACAGACAGACAGGCATGCAGACAGACTGACAGACTGACAGGCTGACAGAGTGACAGACGCACAGACAGACGTGCAGACAGACTGACAGGCTGACAGACTGAGAGAGACAGACACACAGACAGACGTGCAGACAGATTGACATGCAGACAGACTGACAGACGTGCAGACTGAGAGACATACAAACACACAGACACACAGACAGACATGCAGACAAACTGAGAGACAGACACAGACAGACATGCAGACAGACTGAGAGACTGACAGACTGACAGACTGACAAACACACAGACATACAGACAGACTGACAGACTGAGAGACTGACAGACTGACAGAGTGACAGACACACAGACAGACATGCAGACAGACTGAGAGACAGACACACAGACAGACATGCAGACAGACAACACACGGACATACAGACAGACTGACAGACTGACAGAGTGACAGACTGACAGACTGACAAACACACAGACAGAAAGACAGACAGACTGACAGAGACTGAGAGACTGACAGACAGACAGACATGCAGACAGACTGAGAACCTGACAGACTGACAGACGTGCAGACTGACAGACATACAAACAGACAGACAAACAGACAGACATGCAGACAGACTCACAGGCACACAGAGAGACATCCAGACAGACTGACAGACTGTCAGACAGACGAACAAGCAAACAATCAGCATTCGCATGAGTTTAGAGCTCGTGGCAAACCACAAAAGCAGAAACGAAGCGGAATCTCCACGCGGCTGAGATCGGCGCCGCCGGCTTCGCGGCGACCTCCTACTTGGCGAAGAAGGAGGCGAGGGAGCACCCTCTTTTCTGGGCTGCGCGTGTCTTTTTGGAGGATGCGACCCTCAAAACTGCCCAAACTGCTCTGAAAGAGGTGAAGCCAGCCCGCAAACTTCCCCTAAGGGAAGCCGCCCCAGAAATGGGAGGCCAGGACCCATCTTCATTTTGAGGGGTTGGTGCAAAGGGACACCAAAGGAGCACTTCCAATTTGTTTCGGTTGGCACGTCGGCCCGTGTGACATGCCCGTTTTTGGTGGCGCTTTTTTTGGGGCAAAAGGGGCCATCCATGTTGACCAGTCACATGTGCTTCCCCTTGCCAAGGGGCACGGGTCACGTAGCCCTTACAGTGTTTAGTGGTCCCCTCGGCCACAAGCCCCATTTGTGTGTGTGTGTGGGTTATTTTTGTTCGTTTGGGGTAGGGGCAAACCTGTCCGATTCAGGGAGCCCGCTTGCGCGCGCTCACGGCGCTTCCTTGCGGGAAGGGAGGTTTGTGAGTTGGTTCGTTTGTTTTGGTGGTGCTCAGTAGGGAACGAGGGAATGAACCTGGGGATTCCCTTAAAAACACAAAAACACACACACACACACACACACACACACACACACACACACACACACACACACACACACACACACACACACACACACACACACACACACACACACACACACACACACACACACACACACACACACACACACACACACACACACACACACACACACACACACACACACACACACACACACACACACACACACACACACACACACACACACACACACACACACACACACACACACACACACACACACACACACACACACACACACACACACACACACACACACACACACACACACACACACACACAACACACACACACACACACACACACACACACACACACACACACACACACACACACACACACACACACACACACACACACACACACACACACACACACACACACACACACACACACACACACACACACACACACACACACACACACACACACACACACACACACACACACACACACACACACACACACACACACACACACACACACACACACACACACACACACACACACACACACACACACACACACACAACACACACACACACACACACACACACACACACACACACACACACACACACACACACACACACACACACACACACACACACACACACACACACACACACACACACACACACACACACACACACACACACACACACACACACACACACACACACACACACACACACACACACACACACACACACACACACACACACACACTTGAACTCCAGATGGAGAGTGCTAATCTTTCGAGTACAACTGATGAGTCTCGAGTACAACCGACAAGTCTCGAGTATGATGAGTTTCGGCTCGCAATGTATTTGGCTTCCCTCTAGTGTCGAAAACGTTACCAGAAAGAACAAGAAGCACAAACAGCGCCGCAACCAAGGGGCCAAAAGGACTTTCAGAATCACTGAAGCAGGTACAGGTGTCCACGTCTGGACACCCTTCCCACCTTTGGCAACAGCTTCATTGCGTGCAGTATGCCAAAGGTGCTGCACGCCCCTGCTGCGAAGCCGAAAGGGTGGTGACAGGGCATTCTGTCACTCCGCACACACACGCCCCTCTACGAGGGGCGAGAACCACTTTTTCGGGGGGAGAAAAACCACGCGCCCCAAAACCGGGCGAAGACCCCAACAGAAAACAAACGGAGCAAGGGAGCCCAAAAGAAACAGAAAGGCCCCAGGTTGGGTCTCCGCGGGCAAAACCCCAAACAAGAAACAAGAACAACGGGGAAGCCAGGTTTCGGGTCTCCGAGGGCAACAACCCCAACCAGCACAAAAACGACCTAGACCTTGTAGACGAAAGGGGCCGCGAAGGCAAAGAGGCAGAAGAGGAGCAGGCCATCCCTAACCGGGCGATCAGGAAGTACAAGAAATAGCCCAGAGAGGGAAAGAAAAAGAAAGGGAAGAAAGAAAGGGACGAAAGAGAGAAAGAAAGAGAGAGAGAGAGAGACAGACACAGAAAAAGAGAGAGAAAGAGAGAGAGAGACACAGAAGCGTATTTAGGGCGTCGCAACCGCCCGGGGGAAAAAGAAAGGATCAGGGTGCGTATTTAGGGCGCCGCATCCCGCCCGGGAAGAAGGAACAAGAAGCAAAAGGCAAGGAGACAAAAGGAAAAAAAAAAAAAGGAAAGAAGAAGGAAGAAAGAAGAGGAAGAGGGAAGGAGTAGTATGCGTTTTTAGGGCGACGCATCCCGCCCAGATAGGAACAGAGGATGAAGACCAAGGCTCGCGGAGAAAGACGTCGAATCCCGCACAGGGGCCAAGAGGACGGACCCGAAGTAGCAACGGAGGGGGAAGAAGACGTCAAGCCAAACTACGTGAGGAAGAGGAGGAGTAGGAACAGGAAGACAGACGCGAAGACGAAGACGAGGAAAAAGGTGAACAACGCGAGGACAACCAGGCCATCCCTAAGCGGGCGAACAGGAGCGGGACGAACGCGCGGGTCACGAAAGGCAGCAAAAAGAGAACGGGAGGAAGGAGAAGCCATCCCTAAACGGGCGAAGGACCAGAAGACGGGCACGCGGAAGAAGAAGGCGAGAAAAAAGGGGAAGACGTAGGGTGAGACGTCACTATGGTCTGATGGCTTTCTTCCCTTTAGTGAAACCTCGTTCCTGGTTAAATGTGAAATTCCGCTGTTCTATGATCAGCACGCTGAGGTCAAATTTTCCGACAGAGCCGGCCCGGGGTCACACAATGGGTACACCCGAGGATTCCCCACGAATGGGGTGTACACACTTGAACTCCAGATGGAGAGTGCTAATCTTTCGAGTACAACTGATGAGTCTCGAGTACAACCGACAAGTCTCGAGTATGATGAGTTTCGGCTCGCAATGTATTCGGCTTCCCTCTAGTGTCGAAAACGTTACCAGAAAGAACAAGAAGCACAAACAGCGCCGCAACCAAGGGGCCAAAAGGACTTTCAGAATCACTGAAGCAGGTACAGGTGTCCACGTCTGGACACCCTTCCCACCTTTGGCAACAGCTTCATTGCGTGCAGTATGCCAAAGGTGCTGCACGCCCCTGCTGCGAAACCGAAAGGGTGGTGACAGGGCATTCTGTCACTCCGCACACACACACACACACACACACACACACACACACACACACACACACACACACACACACACACACACACACACACACACACACACACACACACACACACACACACACACACACACACACACACACACACACACACACACACACACACACACACACACACACACACACACACACACACACACACACACACACACACACACACACACACACACACACACACACACACACACACACACACACACACACACACACACACACACACACACACACACACACACACACACACACACACACACACACACACACACACACACACACACACACACACACACACACACACACACACACACACACACACACACACACACACACACACACACACACACACACACACACACACACACACACACACACACACACACACACACACACACACACACACACACACACACACACACACACACACACACACACACACACACACACACACACACACACACACACACACACACACACACACACACACACACACACACACACACACACACACACACACACACACACACACACACACACACACACACACACACACACACACACACACACACACACACACACACACACACACACGCACGCACGCACGCACACACACACACACACACACGCACACATAGGGGATGGTTTTTCTCGGGGTCGTTCCATGTCTCATTTTATGAGTAGCGCGCCTGCAAGTTGTGTTGCGCACTTGGGACCTTTCCTTGACCATGGCCAGTGTCCCAAAGAACACAGCCGGTGAAACGGCCTTGCTAGCACTGTAAAAGCATTTGCCCATGCGTGCGTATATATATTATATAAGTATATATGTGATTGGCTACGTTTCAGGGAGAGTGAGCCTGACTGCCCAATTTGTTGCACCAGCCGGGTGCTATCGTGTCCTTCGGTCCCCTGGAGCGGCTTTCTACACCCAGTTTGGTTCGCCCAAAGGAAGCTGCTTGGGGTGGAGAAAGGTGTCTCCTTACCTCTGACTTCCCCTCGAAAGGTTAAGCAATTTGCCGGTAGTTTCCATTGAGACTGTCAGTTTTGGGGAGGTTGCAAAAAGAGATATGGAGGAACCTCTGCAATACAGTACGGTGATTTCCCTCCACGGCTTTCTTCTGAGATTCTTCTTGACTTCATGCACTCCGCACCCATGTGAAGCGAAGGAGGATGACGTGGCCACTGCGCTGCAGAGCGTGTCCAGCGCAGCACTTGAGGCGAGGCTGCTTGTGTGTCATCGTCAGCACAGCCTTTTCTTCACGGATCTTGCATTGTAGTTGTTTCTGATTCTGGATTTTACTCGGCTGCGGGGGAAAAATAACTCCCTGCCAGCAAGCTGAGATACCAAGCCCTTAGCAGGGCTTGTTTGACCTGTAAGGGTTCCTCTTTAGCTTCAGGGAACTATGACCGTGTTTTTTATCGGCAAGTATTTAAAATTTATATCATCCATTTGGAGTTCGGGGCAAAACACCAATTCCCAGGTAACCTCTCTGCCTTTTCTTCACACCCAATCTTACATGCTCATTCTGTGGAATGGGCTTAGGGGTGGTTGATCTTCCCGAAAGGGGCACGCTACACTTTGTCTACCTTACCCTCTAGGTTCCGGGGATCCTACCAGATGCCAACTTTCGTGGCCACGGCAAAGCAGGTGGTCCATAGGGAGTCCAAAGCCCTGAGTTACGGAGGCCGTTTAAACACGGAGGTTTCTTACGGCCTTCTTACGGGGTGTCTACGGCCGTTGACAAAAGGCCGGGACCGCGAAATCCGTGGGAGTGGGCGAAAAAGGTCTAGATGAGACATACCAGGCCAGGGTTCCGTTTTTTGACTACCCCAAAGTCGACTCAAACCCAGGGGTGGTTGATTTCCCCAAAAAGGCAAACCCCCGGGTTTAAGTCTACCTTGGCGTAGTCAAAAAAACGGAACCCTGTACCAGGCCCTCTGTCAGAGGTATAGACCTGGCCAGGCGTATGTCCCAGTGACTTGCCAGGCGGTGAATTTTGCGGACTACGTGAACAGCAAGTACGAAGTGACGGACAAGGCCGGTTGGCTGGGGGCCGTGGATGTTGAAAAAGCCCCGCAGGTGTCAGTTTTCAATCGACACTCCAGTTGCAACCAGCGGGTTGCTTCCCTTTCTTTCTATTTCTTTTTTTTTTCCCAACAGCTGAAAGCTTTGGGGTCTCAGCCCAGATAGGCTCCGGGGTGGTCCGGGGCGGCCCTGAGGTAAGGTTCAACGGGTTTCACCAGGGGTCCACCAGGCTTCCACCAGGCTTCCACCAGGGTTCCACCAGGCTTCCACCAGGCTTCCACCAGGCTTCGACGAGGGTTCCACCAGGGTTCCACGAGGGTTCTGCGAGGGCTGCGGGGTGGTGCGAGCACAAAAAACAGCACCGCATGCTGTTGTGGATATTACCTGAGCTTATTGGGGAAGGGTTCCCCTTCAAACTCAACCAACCAAAAAAGGATGCCCTTGTGTTCCTATACGCACTGGGCATGTGAGACATGGGTCAGCCCCAACGACTTTCATCAATTGTCAAACACTTGCACTTGGGGGTCTTATCACGGGGAACATGAGGCAGTCTTAGCCAGCTGCAGAATCCAGGTTATATGTTTTCTTCCGTGTAGACACCAACAAAAAAGGCCCCCCCGGATCCAGCCGGCTTTGGAGGGGCGATACGGACACCGGACGCCTCGAAGAGTTTGGCCGCTCCAAATCGATTCCACCCTCTAAGCCAGAAGCGCAGATAGTGGTGCACTCAAGTAGCCTCCGTGGCACAGACACAGGTCCATTTGCCAGGGTTCTATTTTGGTGTACCTATTTTTGACCCACACCCAGATGGCCCTAGTTGACCTGGTTTCATACTCTAAGGACAGGACGCCCTCACCAAGGGAAAGCCCGCCAGGTGGGTTCGGCTCTCACGGAGGCACTGGACAAGAACGCTGATGCCAAGGCGCGTGAATTTTCGGGAGTCCAGGAGAGGCGCCTTTTTTGGGAGTCTCCAACATCTATTGGGTGCCTCATCTTTTCGGAAATGTGGAGTCCTGAATTTGCCAAAGTGCAAACAAATCAGATTCACGTTGAAGTGTTCCCTTACTTCAGGTGGAATTCTTGCAATTCGCCATGATCTTCCCGAAAAGGGGTCAATGTGTGGAAAATCTGTGAAACCAATGGAACCTTGACAGTGACGAAGTAGTCATACAACCGGGTGCTGTTCTGAAAACAGCGGTCCCCCAAAATGATTGGCCATGGTGTCCTGTTGTTTTCTTTTGAATACCAACCAGTAGGGGGTCTGCCATTTTGGGACAGGGATAAACTTTGGTGCATTTTGCTGGACTTTAATTGTTTGCCAACCAGTGGGTTTTCCCTTAAACCACTAAAAGTGAAACTTTTGGCAGGGAAGCAGAAAGCAACCGAGTACAGTCGTCATGGACGAAATCCTGCACCAGCTGGGCTAGATGAAGACGAAACTACCTATGCCTGGCGCGGATTTCGTCAATCGTTGCCGGTTTCCTTGACACACAGCTCTCCCTCCATGTGGGTTGTGGTCAAAGTAGCAATCGACCCCCCAAAATGGGTAATTTTCTAAAAAGGGTACCCTCAAAAAAGACCCATCCATATTTACCCTACATGCATAGGTGTCCTTTTAGGCTGGTTTGGTTGAACATATATGGCCCTGGCTTCAGTTTGATTCCTTTTCATCTACCAGTGCCACTATTTTCCCAAACGGACACCTACCAGCACCCCCCCCCCCCACACCAAGAAACTGCATTTTGGACAGTACTTGGGATTTTTCGACCTGGGACAAAACCAGCACCCCCCCCAACAAGTGCGTTTTGGACAGTACTTGGGATTTTCGACCTGGGACAAAACGGTTGTTGGGAGGTGCCCTGCTGCTGCCTATTCACTTTTTGGTTGCCGAGGACTCGCTGAAGACGGTGAAGAGCAGCCTGGACACCGTGAAGGAGGCCATCGACAGCTTTGACAAGGCCGGGCTTTGGTCTGTGCCGGGGGGACTGTGAACTTGCAGCGGGCTCAAATGTGAATGTCTTGGAATGTAGTTATGACAGTTATGCCATAAACAGATACAATATATATATATATATATATGATATTTGTAGTAATGTACACCATGATATATATATATATATATATATACGTATATATGTGCGTAGTAAATACGATCTAATCGTGCATTCTCAAGAGGATATTTCCAAGATTTAGGAGCCTGCTTTGTTTTCTGAGTCAAAAGTGGGGACAGATCTTTCTTTGCTGGCATTTGTTGGGAGGTTTCGTCATCATGCTTGAGTTTGAACTTTTTCTGGCCAGTAGACTCAGGTCAGGTCAGAAAGAGAAGAAAGGCTTCGGTCTGTGTATGTTCCTCATTTGAGTGGCAATCCCTACCGGAACGGGAAAAAGTGGCCCCGCTAATCACCACTCGAGGTGGAGAGTCAGCACAAACCTTAGTTCAAACACATGAGTCATGCGAGTCACAATCAACACCTGGCGGCTGGAGGATAGCAAGGGATCATCCCAACCAGAAATGGGTGCAGCCGCCCTTTTAATTCTTGCATGGTTCCGAGTAGTTCCTTTTGACACCCAATGACCAAATATTGGATTGTGCCTGTCATGCCCACCCTTTTCAAGCGAGGTCTTGCGTTTCTATTTGAAGGGATCTTTATATATTTGTCTCGCAGAACCGGCAGATTGGCAAGTCCTGGTCCCTTTCTCTTGGGATTTCTGGGGTATCCATGTTTTTCTTGTGGGGGAGGGGAGTAAAAACCGGCAGTCGGGCAAGTCCTGGTCCCATTTTCTGGGGGTTTCTAGGGCATCCCCAATTTTTGTTGGGCGGTGTGTGTGCGTGTGTGTGTCTGTGTGTGTGGGTGTGGGGGTGTGGGGGGGGTGTGGGGGGGAGTGTGTGTGGGTGTGGGTGTGTGTGTGTGTGTGTGTGTGTGTGTGTGGGTGTGGTGGGTGTTTTTCTGGGGTCTGGATGTGGCTCTCCCCGCGTTACGCAGGACGTGGGCATCAAGGAGACCTTGGGCAGCCTGGTGCTGGCCGGTTCGGACCTGGCCAGCCAGTTGACCTCCAAGGCAATGGGACGGCGAAGTCGCGGGCAAGACTTCCATTGGCTGAAATGTGTTTTTTGTGTGTTTCTCCCTTGTTGGGTTTAGAAGGAATTTATCACTGCTTCACATATTATTATTTTTTTAAAGAAATATACTTTTTTGCCAGTGGTCTTAACCAAATGGAAGAAGATGGTCAGGTGGATCACTCGAGGTTTATCCAACCACTTCTGTGATACAAAGGAATCCCCTTTTGATTGAGGGCAGGACACTGTGGTAGTACATTTGTCTTCGCATCATCTTTTAGGGACCCTGGTCTGCCTTATTTGGCGGGGGTAAGTCTTTGGGAGGCCCTTTTTGTAGTATCACAGAAGTGGTCACTTCCCACACTTCTAGTCAGGTTCCTTCTGTACTTGGGGCTTCAGCATCTGCTATTTGCGTGAATGAATCAACAAAAAACCGGGGCCGCCCCAAAAAAATCAGAGTACCGTTTTGGTTTTTGCCCCCCCCCCAGAACGGTACCCTGCAAGACATACAGCCCTCCAATCAGCATCCCTCCAATTGGTTTGGAGCCCATTGGTTTGGATTTGGAGTTGGGCCCCTGGCTTTTGTAGAGAGTAGATGAGAAACCCCTTCGTCTCACCGAACCACGAGTCCAAATCACCAATTGGAGGGAAGCTGAGTGTGTGTGCTGTGTGTGCTGTGTGCTGTGTGTGTTTTCTTTTTAGAACCACGGTGTTTTTTTTCCCCCGTGGTGCAAAGGAAAGCCAGCATGGACAGCACGAAGCAGAAGGGATGACCAAGGGCTAGGTACCCAACAGATTGTTTGAGCCGTGTTTAGTCCAAGCCACCCCATTTCTAGGGACACCCGTGGATGTTCCCAAGAATAGGCCGAGGTTTGTGAATGCTGGCGTGGGGCCTGTTCAGCCTGTTCACCCGAATTGGTAGAGGCGGTGCAGGATTTTGGGCCAAATTTGCTTGGAATGCCAAGCTTATCGTAGGGGTGGCAAAATGACAAAACTGTTTGGTGATTCCCAGGCGTCCGGCTCCTGAGGAGTAGAGTTTCTAGGGCTCGGAGTTCTCTCTGCGGGATCCCCGCATCCCAAAGAAACAAGCAGCGTGATGTTGCCGCCCTGGCAACCACAGCAGTGTGGGGAACTGTCCGGTAGATGTTTGCTTGTGAGTTTTAGTTGAACCAACCAACAACTCATGCGGGAGCTCTCGTTCGGGTGCGTTACGCGGCTGAGTTGCACAGTTTCCAAGGAAGCACGACTTTCATATTTGCACAAGGCGCTAACTGATGCCCTTTTTCTTGCTGGTGCTCAGTAGGGAATGAGGGAAGGACCCCTATACACTATCTCTTGTGGTTTCCTTTGAGGGGACTTCATTCCCACATTCCCTACTGAGCACCACCAAGTTTTGTGGCCGCAGGATGCATCATGGCCGATTTGTTGCAACCTCTGCTCTGGCCCAGTGGTTGAAGCACTTGTTTTGCCATCCTTCCCACCGAGATTGGTTTCTTGACTGGCGGATCGCCACCCTCTCAACAACATGGAGCCTGAGGGGGGGGGTCTCTTTATGGAGAAGAGGGGATAAGTGGAGTGTTCTGCCAGAATCCATAGTATCAGGGGACAGATAGCGCAGATGTATTTGCACTGGCGAGCTCAGCGACAACAAGGTGCCTCCAAGATTCCAATTGGTTTTTAGGGCAAGGGCCAGTTGTTCTTGTTCGTTATTCCTTTGCACCAGCGAGACATGGCCAAAAACGAAAACAAAAACAAACCACCAATTTCCAAACCGACATTTGGAGCCAAATCCACATTTCCCTTGTTGGTGCCGAACCATTTGGAGCCAAGTTGAAATGTTCCTTTGCACCAAAGGGGCACGTTGGCTGTCTCGGATATCGGCATGGCACGTGGAACGGTTTCGGCTTGGCCCCTGGAGAGGTCGTAGAGCTGAACAAGGAATACAAGGCCGGGGGGTGCGGAATGGAGTCACTTGGGTGCGGCTCAAAGACGTAACCACAAAATGGAACCTGATCCTTCCAGTTGCCCTTTTGGTTTTGGTTTTACTTTTCCTTTTTTAAGGGCATCTATCACTACTGGACATATTGTTGCCTTTGCAGGGGGGCTTAAGCAAATGGAGCCGGATCGGTAAATGGCGAAAAAGGACTCAAACCTGCGGTCCGATTTTGGGCGGTCGACTATTTTGACTCATACCCATTTGCAATATGTGGGGAACACATGGATGTAGTTGGGAAACATTTTACATTTTTACGCTTCCTTTGGTTTAGTGGTTGAACTCCAACCACTTAACTGCTAAAATCATTCAAAATTTGCTCCTCGCAGTCTGTGGTGCCGGCAATCTGCGCTTTGCTTCGATTTACGAGTCATGGCCTTTTCAGGTTGGTTTAGGACTAGGACTCGCTGGGTTCCACTGGCTTTGTAAGCCATTTACCAGGGAAACCAAAAATCCATTTGCAACCCATCCTTTTTCGCAACAGGACACCTATGGTAGCGCCATCTTTGGTCGCAATGCCCAGAGTCCTCTTGGGATGAACTTGTCTCCCAAAAAATCAGATTTCAGGGACAAGTGTCAAGCACAAGCTCCATGGAGCCACCAAGCTTGGACGAAGGGGGCGTCGCTTAGAAACCTAAGGACTACAACCTGCTGTCTGGCGGATTTTTGTTTGACCCATACTCATTTGATGTCAACACTCTCGCAAGGTCACTGACCAGCTCAAGGCCAAGATTGATGAAGCTTTGGAGAAGAGCGAGCAGCCGGCGGGTGTTAATGCCAACTGGAGATCCACTGACGGGGAGACCAAGCTTGGGGTATCGGGGCACGAGCTAGATTCCCCACATGCAGAGCAGCACCCTTTCAGGAACGTTGTGTTTGTAAATGTAGCTCCTTACCGTGACTGGTTGTTTTACTTTGTAGGGGTTGATTCCCCATTCCTTTCAACCATTGTTCTTTTTAAAAAACCAGCTGGTTTCCCAGAGTTTTTGGTGGTTTTCTAGAAAGAAGGATCCCTGGAAAGAATAGGGAAGCTACCCTTAGATCATTGGGTCCTTGGTCCCTGAGCGTTTTGGAAACTCGTGGGTTTTCTGTTGCGCCAAAAGCTTGGATTTGCTCGTTCGGGGCACAGTCCCGCTGAGCTGGCCAAAAAGGGCTCACTGCCAGACACATGGGATTTGCACCCAAAATGCGCTGGCTGGGGGTAAATTTGCTCACTGTAGATTCTGCGCCAGAGGAAGCCCAAATTTCTGATTCCAAATTGACCAAGAACTGATCAAGCTGCCAGGGCGGTGGAACCAAGGCCCGTACAGATTCCAGAAAGGTGAAAAGGCGAAGGTCCCCATCCAAACAGTTGGGGTCATGTTGGTTCTGTTGAGTCTTTTCAGCAGGGTCCTGCGTTTGCATACGCGCCCGGGGGCTTGACGGATTGCTTGGATCAAACGACCCATGACAGGCTTGACGGATTGCTCTCTTGAAATGCAACAAGGCCTTGCGTCTTGCGACTGGGCGGGGAGCTTCGGGAGGCCGAGATGCCTCGCTTCCTGGACGCCTTTTGGATGCAGGTTCTTTGGGCTCCCCATTTAAGCTGCTATGGCGAGGGTTGCATGTCTGAACTTGAATCCCGCTTTTGAAACGGAGCTGTCAATGGCTCACGTGAACCCAGGGAAGAAGTAAGAAGTACATATCTCATATACAGCATGCAAGGTCAGAGGATTGATGGTCCATTGGGACCAAGTGCTGGAATGTTGGTTGGGTGTTTGCAGAAGGGCAGTGTCCGAAAGTGGGGGAGCCGCCTTTTGAATTGCGTTTCAGAGCAAGCCAAAAGGAAGCAAAAGAGGTTTCTCTATTTTGTGAAGGTCTAGGATATTTGGCTGTATGTGTGCGGTGAATCATAGGTGATTCTGCTTCCAGCTGAGCAGATGTCCCCAAAAATCAGACGTGGGTATGGGTCAAAATTTAACCACCAGGGGACCGCAGGTTTTAGTCCTTGGTTCCATTTACCAGAGCAAGCCATTTTGGGGTTACCCCATTTTCGACCCACAGCCACGTGGGAATGGATTTCCCACGACGCTCCGCCAGTCGAAGAAGGCCTGAGAGTCTGAGTCTGAGCCGAGCGAATGGTCAATTCGCGCGGCATGTGGACGGTTACAGATCTGCGCTGGGCGGGTTTTTACGTGCGAACCGCCGGGTGGTTTTCCCTTTGCATTTCGATTGCCCAGGCCCCAGTTGCAAGCAGTGGCCGGGCCTTTTTTGTCCACTTTGGGTTGTGGGTCTTCAGGTTTTTTCTTTCTCGAACTCAACAAACAGAAGATGGGTTTGTTTACCACCGGCCCACTGCGCAAGTGAGAGGCGGAGAAGAAGATTCGCGGATCTCGGAAATTTCCGCGCTCGCGGGAGTGGTGATGAAAATTATGGCAGTCAGACTTTGCAACGCACCGCGCCCCGAGATATCTATTTATTTTTCAATTTTCCGGGTGTCACCCCAGAGGATGCCTGGAGGAGGTGCAGAGCCAGCCATTCCTTTGTCCAGGTAGCACTGGGCACACTCTCATGCAGTTTGGAATGCGAGACACATTAGACACATTCAGAGACATTCAACCTGCAAAATGCGAGTTGTGTTGTTGCGAGTTGTGTTGTTTTGTTCTTGCTTAGTCCGGGTGACTGAAGCTCCTAGCCTGCATGCCTGTATAGCAGAACCGCAGAACCGTGAGGGCATTGGTTTCGATCTCTCAGCCGTGCAGCAAGTTAACGGGTCCTTCACAGCCTGCTGTTTGGGTGTAACCCCTTGCCAACAGAAGCAACAGTTTACAGGCGAGTGTCACTTGTTGCTTGTTCCCCCCTGTGGCTATCACTTTCAACTCGCGGGATCTCTTTTTCTGTTGCCAAAGGTCGCTTCTAAGAATCCGCCCATTCAGCACAAGCTCGACGACTGATAAAGCGGGCGAGTCCAACTGAATATTGATAAATCAAGTGAACCTGATTACATGCAGCCCCAAAAGGCCTGACACCCTGGTAGACGTGGCAAATTACAGGGCATGTGTGTCCTTGATAGTTTAGTTTGGGTGGAAGTAGATGGCAGGGGTTTGTTTGTTTTTTTGCCCCACTTAGGGCCATTTATTCTCTACCAACAGTGCAGGGGGGTGATTCCCCATTCTTTTCAACCATCGTTCTTTTTCAAAAAGCAGCAGTGTTTCCTTTGTTTCTGGAGGTGTTCTAGAAAGAAGGATGTCTGGAAAGAATGGAAATGGAAGGTACCCCTAGAAAAAAAAGAACACCCATGACGTAGCAAGGTGTCCAAGTTCTTTTTGAACGCTTGTTCGGCATCCAGGCATCCATCGGTTCCCGTTGAGGTCAACCTGCGAAATGGGTTGTTTAGGGACTTCCGTTTTGGTGAGAAATTAACAGAAAGCGCGGGTAAGGATCACCCAAAAAGAAAGTTGGACGGAACATGAATAGGCCTAATTGGTTTCAGTTTGGACCTTTTGACCCCTCTTGGAGAACAATTCTGCATGGGTGCTTCCTGAGATTTCTGTTTCCTCTTGAGGTTATGCATGTGGTTTACCCAAGGCAGCCAAAGGGCAACGCTGCTAACACACACCACTACACAGGACTCTGGAAGCCAAACAAACCGGAGACCCCTTGACCAGCAAGGTGCATGACCCATGCTTTGAAGTCTCCCTTGCAGGAAACAACTGGAAAAGATGACTGGTTGCGTGGTTGGTGTTTTCTGCCAAGCTTCTAAAATGCTCCGGGTTAAGATCAACGATCTTTTCCGCGGCTTTGAGAGCGCGATTTTGACAAATCTGCTCCGGGCGTCAAAAGGACATGCTGGTCAGCGCCGAAGCGGGGCAGGATGGCGCCGGGGGGTTTGGTTCAACATTCGAAGCGGCCGTGTGGGATATGGCATGGTTTATTTTGCCTTTACATCGCTTGTCCATGAAGGAAATGCCAGGTACACAAAGATTTGGAGGTTCAAAATAGGGCTTGGTTGACTGGTCACAAGGCAGTTCCGGAGGCGGCATGGAGACAAATGATACAGCACACGGTCAGCAATCCCCATTGTCGTACCTCCATATTTTTTGTCTCAGCTGATTTGGCAGTTGCGATGGCCAGTGGTGCTAATCTGCTCGAGGCTGATCATATTTGGGCCAAGCATGGCGACCTCGCAAAACCCTTGCTGCGACTGTGTGGGTGCATGTGTGTGTGTGCCATGAAGAGGTTCTTTTTCACGTTCTCCATTTTTTGGGGAGGGGGGTCCCAATTTGAGGGGGTGCAGGATTCAAGTCACCCAGATAATATGTTTCAAAGCTGCAAGCCAAGTTTGCTTCAGCAGACGCTTAGGTGTGCAATGATTCCCTTTCATTGTGATTCTGTGTTTGGAGGCATGAGATAAGGTGAGAGCAAGGCCCTCTCCATTGCTCAGCATGTGCGGTGACTTTGGCAACACGTAGGCGCGGACCTTTTCTTTGGTGAACAGAGGCCTGTATGAGTCGAAGTCTGGTGTCATGAATCCATAGGTGGCGGGTCCTCCATAGCCCAATCAATGGCCAAACTATTCGTACGAGTTCATACCTAGGATTTGATTCTGATGCAAAGCTCCTGCTTAGTGGAGCTGGTCATAAGTAGACGCCTTACCGCTTAGGGAATTTAGTTTACCATTGTGCGGGTTCCTACTAGGAGAAGAATGAATACGACCCACAGGAGTTGGGTCATACAATGGACCGTTGCCACTGTCTTTTGGACAGCTCATGACATGCCTGACATGCGCCGAACAGCGCAAGCCCCAGCTCAAGCCCGGAATCGAAGACCAGGGGCGACCCGTCAAGGCCGAAGTCGAATTCGGTAAATCCTCACTCCCAATGGCGCCGCGAACCTTTAGTCTTCCAGTTCCGGTGGATTTTTGACTGAAGGACCCTGCAGAACAAGGGCTGGCCTTGTATTGTTTGGGCCTTTGCGCAAGGGAGCGATGTTTAACGTGGATGCTACTTTCTTTGAGTGGCCAAGGGCCACTCCACTGTAGATTGGTATGTCATGGGGAACCCCACGCTGGTATCTCAGAAGGTATAGTTTCCGCAACTATGGTGTTTAGACTTGCCATCCGATCATAGATAGGAGTTTGGATTGGACTTCCAAGCCGGCTTGCACGTCGCCTTAGTAAGTCATGGAGAGGGTACCCCAGTAAAGTTTTCCCCGGTACTCCATTTGGGCGTGTCTTTTCTTGAGCGTTCCCTTTTGGGCTATGGTGAAGAAAAAAGCAAAGGACACCACCACCAATTTCCAACGTCCTCTCGCTTTGGATCTGACGGCCAAAAAGAAAGAGGGTCTTTTTGTCACAAGCCAAGTTCGCTTGCTTGGGCTCTGCCTTCGTTCTTTGTATTTTTAAATGTTTTTTTGTGCGGTCACAGGGTGGTCAGTTTTGGGCTATATGGGGTGACCCCAGCTTGCATTCAAACATGGCAAGCTGCATCAAGCTGAACCCCCAGCGCAACTCTGGCGGTTGGGGCTTATGTGCTCACCAAACTGTGTCTTTGCTTCAGGAAATTATGACCCAACAATTCACACGAGTTGAACTTGAGCACTCCCAAACAAACCAAGTCCTTAGTGAAGATGTAGGTTGTCCCTTTGCGAATCCGTGAGTGAAGCCCCCACTTTGCCGGGCCTGTCAACTCGAGTTTTGCCAGGCATCATGGCATTCACTGTGCGAGGACCCGCTTGGATGTGCGTGTGTGTGTGTGTGTGTGTGTGGATTTGAGTCGATTTGGCTTCAAATGTGTCCAAATCCAATAGAAGACTTTCATGGCCGGAAAAATGCGTTCCGAATACGCGAAACTCTTGGCCAGAAGGTGGGTACCCGCAAGCCAAATGCTTGCAACTGACATTCCCGCGCGGCCGAACTCTGTGGTTTTGCACTTGTGGTAGTCTTTTTGGGTGCTGTCTGCCCTCTTGACGCTTGACCCAATGCAGTTTGTGTCTCTGGGCACCTTTCCGTCGCTGTGCTGTATCGCCTGACATTTGGCACATGGGGTTTGCTGCGCAAGCTATGTTTCCCCGCCAGACCCAGCGCAAGAATGCAAGAATGCCACGGGGGCCAGGCAAAATCCGGCTGTGTTGAAACCACGGCCTCTCTGGTCTTCCAATTGCCAGGACGGAAGCTGCGGGCGACAAGTCCGGCGGCCAAAGCTGACTACGGACCTGGTTTTAGCAACTATTTGTTTGGGGGAAAAGAGGCTGAAACCTGCCATTTGAACATGACTTTCCTTTTGGCGGGTAGGGAACTTCAGGCCTAGCCGATGGGATTTGTGCATGCATATACTTTCCAGCCACGAGAGGAATCTTCTTGGGGCTCCCTTTTGGGGGTTGGTCCGTCAATTCGCAGAGTGAACACCCATACGGCCCATATCTGGGCTCGCGTTTGGGAATTTTGTCCGGCCCCTTCACAAGTTTGGCTCAGGCTCTAAATGCAGAAGAGATGCAGGGTGGGGAGGAGAGTGGCATTTTTGGTGCGTACAGGCCATGCCACTGAACCTGAATACGCTTTGCCATTGCGACTATAGTTCAAAATCAGCGACAACTAAATGATCTGTTTCCAATGCCGTTCTTCAAACAAGGGCCAAGCAAGGGGTCAAACCCAGAAGAGCCAGCCTTGTGCTGCAATTGCCACAAAATCTGCACCCGTCTTTGTGAAAGTGCTGCGCCTGTCTTGCAAACTATATATATATATATAAACAAGTTTGTGCCAATGGGCCCGGCTCCGAACGCGCTCTGCAGGGTTGTGCCTTTACGAGCATTTCCGTTCCCCAGATACACGCGCTCCCCGATACACACTCTCTTGTCATTTGTGGAGAGCTAGCTTCGAAATAGTTGCCGTACCACGGAAGTTCCTTCTAAGCTTCCTTTGACCAATTGTATCACACCATGCTCCAATTGAAGATAAAGCTTCCAGCGGCCTGATAATTGTTTGCTGGTAATGCAACGGATCTGCACCTGGATTTCTACTGCCCCGTGGGTGTTCCGGCGAATGTGAAGAGCATGCTGTGGGTCCGACTCCAATGTTGCGATCCCCGGACGAGGGATAGTTTGCAGATTCTGAAGGCCTGCAAGAAGGCCAACGGGAACACACCATTGTCGCATTTTGGTTGGATGTTAGGACTTCAACTTTTTGCCAACTAATGAGGTTTCCATTGAACCACTAAAAGTTAAGCTTAGGACTTCATTTGTTTTGTTAATTTATGAGTTGTTTTATTAAACCACTAAAAGTTAAGCTTTTATTTTTTTAGTAGAGCAGCAGAGAGCAACCGAGATGCCTCAAAGCCAACACGCCCCAAATCAATTGGAAGGCAACTGAGTTGGGTGGCCGCCGGTTGCTCCACCGATGCCCAGGCGCTCTGGTGTTGGCGCTGCTGGCGGTGCCTTGGCTGTGGTCACTGGCATGTGGGAATCACGGGCAGGCTGGTATTCAGGATTCTATCCAAACTAAATCAACCTGATGCAACACACAAACCTTCGTCTACCTAGGTGTGAGCCTTGTTTTGTTACTGTCTTGTATTCGCACTTGTGATTTGACCAGATTGTTTTGTTTCAATGTGTTTGTTCAGTATTCGCTTGAAACTCGTCTTTGCAGCGGCTGCACGCGAGCAAATCTGGGACGGGGGAAGCATCGCGGCATCGCATTCCGCGCGGTCCATTCCAACCAGATTCTGCGTAGGCAGGTTCGCGGGGGCACGGTACTGTTGTTTGTTTGTTTGATTGTTTGTTTGTTTGTTTGTTGGTTGGTTGGTTGGTTGGTTGCTTTTTTGTTTGTTGGTTGGTTGTTCGGTCGGTTGGTTCGCGTAGGACGGCATTGTTGTTGTTTCTTTGTTTGTTGGTTGGTTGGTCGGTCGGTCGGTCGGTTGGTTCGCGTAGGACGGCATTGTTGTTGTTTGTTGGTTGGTTGGTCGGTCGGTCGGTCGGTCGGTTCGCGTAGGACGGCATTGTTGTTGTCTCTTTGTTTGTTGGTTGTGTGTTGGTCGGTCGGTCGGTTGGTTCGCGTAGGACGGCGGCATTGTTGTTGCTTCTTTGTTTGTTGGTTGGTTGGTCGGTCGGTCGGTCGGTTGGTTGGTTGGTGGTTGTTGTTGAGCAGTCTGCGACAAGTCGTGATATTTGTTGCTCAATTGACCATGGCTCGAGCGGATGCGAGGTGCCCACGTGCTTCATTGGAGCCTCCGCACCTAGGCCGGGAGCGACGTGCAGTCACTCACTTCCCGAGTTTCGGAATTTGGGCTTTCGTCACTTTTTTGGGTTTGGGCCATTTGGTGATTTAAAGAACAAGTTCCAGGACTGTTTTGGGGCCACTCAGGAGGTGAGGTCAATGTCGAAAAAACCTGTGCGTCTTGCAAACAGCTCAGCCCGAGAGCATTTGGCCCTTCCTGAAGCGGCCGTTTCTTATTTGGCTGTGGGTCAAAGGTGACCCCCAAATGCAACCCTAGCAAGTGAAACTTGGACCAAGATCTGCTGCCCCCTGGTGGTTTTTACTTTTGAGCCATACCCATTGGTCGTTCATTGGCTCTTTGCTTGCATCGCCTTGTTTGGGAACCCAAATAGCCCGCAGGCTTTTGCTGGCTCTTCAGTTGGAACACCTATCTCTTCGCAAGCTTTACATGTGACCTACTGGGTTCACCCGGTATGGAGGTGAACAATGGTGAAAAGGAGATCCATTTGGTCCAAAGAGCATTTGCGGAACCTAGCCAACAGCGTTGCTACTATGACTCGGAAGAAGTGTGAGATTGGAGTCACTGACCGTTTTGCGGCAGTCCTGAGAAAGTCGGAGATGTTTCCTGTCATCTGATTCGAGTCCACAAAAGTGACCACATGTTTGAACAGCACGCAAGTATAGGTCTCACTTCCTGAGTTGCTGGACTTTAAACTTTTCGGAAAGACCATTTTAGTGGTAAATAAAAAATTCAAACTTTTTTTGGCTAGTCAACTTGGGAAGTGAGAGGTGCTTTCAATCTTTGTACTATGTTTTCGTTTGGGGACAAGCCAGGTCGAATGAGGGAACAACTTCCATTCAGATCGGACCATGGCGCAGAGTCAAGATTATTTGTTCGCCCGGTTTTGGGTTTTGGTGGAGCATTCCCCGTCCATTTGCCTTTTGTTTTGGCGATGCCCGGAGACATTATGATTCTGGAGGTTGATGCCCCACTCTTTTCAATCATCGTTCTGTTCTAAAACCAGCTGTGTCCCAAGGGTTTTTGGTGGTTCTAAAAAGAAATTCGGATCCCTGGGCAGAATGGGGCAGCTACCGCTAGAATGATTGGCTGCCTTCTCACTGGCGAACACGTGAACTTGCAGTCCAAGGACCTCCAAATGGGAGTTTCTTAACTTGGTGGCTCCCAGCCATCCGGTTCCTTAGCTTTTTAGCCCTTTAGTGTTTAGTGGGGGTTTCCATGCAGGGCACCAAGAGTTAAACTTTTAGCAGGGGATCTGAGGGCAGCCCAGTCAAGAGACCCTTCCTCCCACGTTGTGATTGCACCTGTGGGAGGGTACCTGGAGCACAAGTTTCCTCATGGAGGGACCGGGTCCCTGTCAGCTGCCATGCATGTGAGTGGGAGGAAGGGTAGAAGGCACCCTTTTTGCTGGTTTTTCAGAGGGACTTGAAGGAAACAAGCAGCGAAGCAGGTTCATTTTTTTTGTTTTTTTTCGCATTTTGAGAGGCCCCCCCCTTTTTGTTTTCGCAGGACCCGGGCAGACATCGCAACCTATGCAGAGGCCAAGGAGACCGGAGAAGCGGGGCCGCGTTGATATCCTGTCGCTGGCGTGCGGGGTCGGCCATCAATCTGTGTGACCGCGTGCGCAGAGACAGAAGCACCCGTGTTTCCTCGGCTTCAAATCAATTCGAAGCATCAAAAAGGAGCAAGCAAGCCAAGAAGACATGGCCGTGGGTCAAAACCAATGGCACCATTTTGGGGTAGCTGCACCACCCGTTTTAGAACCTATTTTAGTGGTTGGATTGGGATGTTCACTGGGGGTACGATTTGGAGTTTGACCCATGGCCACAAAACTAGGGAAAACCACGAGGGCACAGCCATGGGAGGCTCCGCCTTGGCCTGTGGTTTTGTCTTGAGGAGGCCGCCGCTGCCGCCGCTCCTGCGCCGCCGCCGCCTTCCTCCGCCGGCTCGTCTGTGGCACTGGTGAAGGCTGTGGTTTGTGCAGCGTGCAAAGGGGGGTGAAGGTGAGGTATGGCGAGGTGCAACAAAAGACATTTAAATTGTTTCCATCCTACTAAAAAGTGAGTTTTTTTTCTTGAACTAGACCCACTGGCAAAGCGTGCACAATGTATCACAGGGTCGCCCCTTTAGGCCCTTTTGCAGGTCAAGTAGGGTCGTGTTGCAGGGAAGCCAGTAGGGACCCCTCCTTCCCGTTCATGAAAAGAAGAGTGGCGGTTTCAGACCGGGACATTCGGATGTGGGCTGCCATTCGGGAAAGTACAAGTCCCTTTTGCGGGCTGATCTCCAGGTCCCCCTCTGTGGGCAGTCCCTAGTGACTGGAAGCCATGCATCTTTTTTTTGGAAGGGGGTCGCTCAGGATATTCACAACACGCAAAGACGGCTGTATATATATGGGTCCCCTTTTTGTGGGCTTCAAAGGGACACCAAGAGGGACAAAGACACAATTTGGGGTTCGGTTCTCAAGCGACACTTGCCATGCCCATAGTTTCATTTTTGGAAGCTACACATGTTTCGAGAGAGAACCGAACCAAGGGACTTGACGCCACACGAACCAACGACTTTTTGGTTACTTACGGAATATGTTGGACAGCTATGCGTTCCTGGATAGATACCTCTTTTTTGTCAAGCCCTGACATCACACCCGTCAACATGGCCAGTGATGTTTGCTTGCACGCGTTCCTAGGAGCTCCACTTTCCACTGGTTTCCACCCAAATGTGGACAACTTTCCTCCCCAAGGCCCTTCGAAATCCAAGGACAACCTGTTCTTGTTGATTCGAAAGGGAGACTCACCGGAACCAAGGAGGATATAATGCATGGCACCCACAATAAGCCACTGCTGGCTCCATTCCAGTAGACCCCGGGGCTCCGTTTGCCAAGCAGAACAAGGTGCTTTGATCATCCCCGCGGAATGCACGGACGGCGGGGAGCACCCCGGAAACGAAAATTCGGCATCCAGATAGGGGGGTGGGCAGGTTGCAACAGAGTTAGAGGATTTGTT